CCGGGTTATGTACTCTTGCTACCACCAAGGGTACATACAACCGTGCTACTACCAACTTACTTAGGCAAGAGTACATGAAACCTACTTCAGTATATGAAACCCATGATGTCATTGTTTCATGTACTCTTGCACTTCAGCGATCATCAGATAGCAGCGTTTACTGGTTTATGTACTCTTGGTACTACTGTACTCACTTCGTCTTGGGGTGTATTCGATTAGAAAAGGCTGTGTAAGCAGTAGCCGTGAGAGCCAGACGGATAGGCAAGTCATTTTGGACGAACTACTGTAAACCTATCCCGACAGTAGTAATCTGTTCTCCCCGGTAGTACATTGGGTACTGCACTTGCCTGCGACCCGAGAGGTCGCGGGTTCGAGCCCCACAGTCGCACATCTGACTGCAAAATCCCCACGACGCAGCTCACCAGATCAAGGTGTGGGTCCTCTGCACTCAGTAGAGTCAAGTCGAGCGAGCTGCAACTCCCGGTGCCGAAAGGCGGGCTAACGCCCCTACATGGCTACTTCCCCTTGTCTAACCCCCAAGACGAAATGAATGATACCGTACTGGCAATATATGTTGCCGCAGTGAGGGCATGAAGCGTTACATTGGCACATGTTTGCCGCACGCAGGGCGTTACATGCAAAGTCGCACAGGAACCGTTACACAGGTTTCTATATTGCCGCAGTCCTTTTTTTGCTATTGCCGCATCATTTTTTTGCTTTTGCCGCATCATTTTTTCTTTTCATCCACATTGAAGGCACAGAAATTCAGTTGCTATCCAACTGTTACAAACCCGACGGCAAAGGGCGACAACGATATCAATAGAAGACTGTTTATTTTAACTATCAGAGTGCAAAACGACCTCGGGAAAGAAGAAACCATTGTGATCGCCAACCACTGAATGATGCGCCTTCGAGTGTCAGGACTTCCTGCTGCGTCCAGTTTTGAACTTTTCACCACGCGGTACACGTGCTTTCACAGTTTTCAGCCTTTTTTTGCAGTGCAAACTGCAATGAAAAGATCGCCGCACCCCGCCGGACGCGCGTTACGAACTCAACGAAAATTTGTCGCACTAGCCTGGTCGCGCGTTACGCCGCACCCCCCTGCGTTACGCGTTACGCGGCAACATATATTGCCAGTACGGTAGTAGCCGACTGGCCGAAATTAAAAAAAAAAAATTCTGTTCTGTTCGTTTGCATCTTAGCTATCATTGCCATAGCCTAGGACAGGGTTGTGTATGGGTATTTGGCTATCACGGAGTCCATATGTTTCGCCGTGGTTGACTATAAAAACCCTGCAATCGCCACGCAAAGTGGTCATTGGCTACTCCAGCCCTGTATTGCTTGGAATCAAACTAACTGACTACCCTGGTCAGTGATTGTGTAGAGGAGATCAACCTGAGAACCTGTCGCGTCGCTTGAGCTTCTGATCCTTTGCCTGAAATCTTGACAATAATTGAGTAACGTTAAAATAATGCCAAGTTGTTTTAAACGCTCTTCTTGACTACTGACTGCTAGTACGTTGATCATTGCTATACAACACGAATATCATTCCTGGGGTGGGCCGTGAGGCACGTCATTGATTGCCTTGCGCTTCAGAGATACAGTGGCGTGTATTGCTAATGATGCTGCGGTGCGAATCGAGTTACATAAACACCCTACACGAACGTGTGATCGGATGCGGAACGGGAAACAAGAATCTCACGCGCCTCAACTGCACTGTTCTATTTTAACGTAACATAAACAGTACCAGAGAGTAGTAGGAATGGGTTTGCTCCCACACTGGAGCTCGCGCTATTCCGCCGACGACTTGACACTTGACTGACTCACGACTGCCATCCAGAGAACACGAGAAGTTCATCGAGCCTTCGACTCGGCAAACCTGCAAGAAAGCACCACTCCACTTCCTAAACAAAATCATCGCCGAAGTCGCAACCTCTATTTCGTAGAGAGTAGTAGAATAGTAAAAATACCTGGCCCAATTGATGTTGTGAATAAAACCGTTCTCAAAGTAATATACCTACTCCCTCCTACTCCTACTCCTCAAAATCTCTATTTTTTATTCTTCCGAAAACACTGAATTGAGATAAATATACGACGCCATGCTAGACTAATGACTATGTGGAAGGTAATACCGCATACCAGGGTAATGAGAGTTCACATAATAATAGTAGCAATTCATCATGACACTACATTGTATTGTGTTTCAAGTCTGTGTTCGAAACTTCATAACAGTTTCTCCAACTGCAAGAATCGTGCAATATTGTAGTAAAAAAACCTCTATTTGAAAGAACTCTTACTCCAAAGTCTAAGTTAAACAGCAAAAGGATACAAAGCAAAGCAATGGAGAGGGCAACTCCTACTCCTAGGCAACTCCTAGGGCAACTCGATCAGTTATAGTTATAGGTAATTCTAGTTGACTCAGTCACTGCATTCATACAGTCATGAGTTTGGTTGGTGATACATGTACATGTATGTATTCACTGGTTTGAGGGAAAGACGCAAACGGGAAAAGCCTGAAGAAAAAATTGACTGTCAGTCACCACCAGGACTCGAACCAGGGACTCTCGCTTTTGAGGCCAGCGATGCTCTAACCACTGAGCCATGGTGTAGTCGTCATCCCATACATGTATGTGCAATTCATTTTCCCGTAGAATCTACAAGAAGCTTAGCCCCTGATCAGTAGAGTACAGTCAGGTATGGGAGTGGCGGACAATCACATCATTGTGGGTGTCACTTTCTGAGCGGACCGAGCAACACACCAGTACAGCATGATCCGCTCAAGGGAGTGCAGGATCAAAAGCCGAAAGGAAACGACCTTTTGCTGCAGGTCATAATAATAGTACTAGTACTACTAGGCTGGTGGTACCGCGGGTTGGAGCATACAGGACACACGCCATACAACGAAGGTAACTACAATCTACATTGTACGTGGCAAAACCGTCACGTACATGTCCATGCGAAACATGGCTATCATGTAGTAATCGGCTCAAGCGCTGGCAACACCACTGTTTGCCTTCACGGCTTCAGGTTCTTGTCTTACTCACTGCGAAGACCAAGAAGCCAGAAGACTTCTGAAGTTCTGTGTACGTATTGCGTCGACTGAGCAGCTTCAAGATGAGTCTTTGACTCGACTGTGACCTCAATACAATGTACCGGTAGTCCTACATCGCTCAACTAACGTGTGTTCTAACTAACACACAAGGGGGGGGGGATGGCCAGGAGTGGGTGAGGGATACCGGCACTAAATAAGCGGGGTGCAAATACCATCCCGGATGTGTGTCTCATTATTATTAAAATGGTTGAGACCGAGGATTTTAGAAGTGATTTATCTGTATTCCAACGACAACCGTAGCCAATAAAAGATCTAGAAACACGCTCTGGCAAGCCTGTGGCAGTGGGCAAGATGTGCAGTATGCACTGCCGATAGTACCAAGAGTAAAATTTATTCCCGCAGCTATGCAAAAGACGTTACTAGTAGTAACGTCTTGCGCTAGCCAGGGTCCACACAGCTTTAATTTAAAAAGCTCCCTGGGAGCTTATTAACAGTCTTCGTGCAATCGTCGGTCAGTGCATTACAGTCCAGCTGTAGTATTTATTCATTCGGGTAGTGTTGTTGAGCAGACCAGTCACCTGTTCTTTCCCCAATTTCCCAATTATCAAACTAATAGTTTTCATAATAAAGTGAAAGCTGTCTAAGACGACCGCTCATGGGACCTTCAAAATGTGGTCTCTGTTACCAGGTGGTCTCCTTATCCCGGGTCATTTGACTGGAAATAGCATCCCTTGGTCCTGGTTTCAGTGGTCTTCTAGTACCGTACAGGTGGTCGCCTTATCCGAGTGGTCGCCTTATCCGAGTGGTCGCCTTATCCGAGTGGTCGCCTTGACAGGGGTTTACTGTACAGTGAACTGCTAGCTGTTTCGACCTTGTCAGGTCTCCTCAGCGGAGCTCAGAGTTACCATGGTTACTGGCCGAACTGATCGTAAGCAGGTAAAAAAACACTTCGCGTCAGACTCGGCTAGAGGCCGAGTTTTCCGCATCCGTAGGAACACCACCCTTCGAGGATCAAGGCGGAGATGTACATGTAGCTCCTAAAGCGGTGGGAGGTGAGTAGATCAGCTCACCAGCAAGTGGTCAAAGACCGAAAATCCCAAGCAGGTAAGGTGTGCTGGAATTGTGTGATAGCGGGTAGTGCACATTAAACTGTTCAGCACCAACAAATGAAAGACTAAACTGTAAACATGTACAATGTACTGTGCTGGCAACTGAAATCCGACCCCTGAGCGGTGCGCTCACATCGCGAAGACCCAACACGGGATGGTAAAACTACGAAACAGAGACCGCTAGTAATGTGAACCCACCGCTGAGGGGGTCGGATTTCAGTTGCCAGCACTGTATCTTGTTGGCAGCAGGACATGATGGGGCACTACTACATGTACCGTAAAAGCAGAAATTTTCGGTTTTGTAATATTTTCGGTATTCGCCAAAATTGGCGGTTCGGTAGCGGGAAATTTTCGGTAAAACCCATTCTCCAGGTAGGTGTACTAGTACTACATGTATACACTATAGGTTGAACCGAAAATTTCGGTGCGTTTTATTTTTGGGTAAAAATTACCGGCACCGAAGTTACCGAAAATAAAACACCACCGAAAGTTTCTGCTTTTACAGTAGCAACATGATTGTGTGCAAGATTCGTCGGTATCATTCGCAATCTATGTTTTCTTTAAAAGGTATTCCTGACTTTTGTGTCTAGGCTAACCACATCTATGATAGTTTCAATAGTTTGTGTATATGTCAGTTGTAGTAGTCCGCAATGCTGCTTTTCTAATTCTCATTATGATTAGCATGCAATGTACTACCCGAAGTACTGAATTTACTTCTTTTGTGATCTATATTCTAATGTATCTTCTACCTCTTCTCCCTTACGAACATACATTCTCATTTTCCATACTTACTTTAATAGGAGACTCCCTTCGATAGGCATCTATTTGCCTCTGGAGGATCCGTGAAATAAAAATCAATCAATCAATCAAGAACCAGAATGCTGCTGCTGCTGTTGCCAATGCATTGCTTGACTTCAACCTGCTCACAGCAACTGAGAGCAGTATCACCTGGTCCGCATTTGGAAGCCGAACCTGGACATCCAGCACTAGTTACGTATGATGTGATCTCTACTTGTACACAAGAAACGTGGCAATGCTTCACGGACACTAACACTAACACTGCAATGCAATGTAAATGCATGTACTCTGAAGTATTTGGAAGTGCATGCCAACAATTCCAAAGCATCCTCATCAGTTCCATAGCAGCAGTCTTAGCTACCACATGAAAAAGAAAGTCAAAATTGAAATCTCTACTTCAGCTTCACCCAAACCAGAAATACAATGTAAATCACCTATGCATATCGATGGGGCCGGTTCATCCGATAATTCCTATAATGTGCTAGGCCACACACTCGTAGCCCGTATCTTCTTCAGCGTTTGATCCGTTTGCAGAGCCGTATGCCTCGTTGTCCATCAAGGTCGGCATCTGCACGACTTGCTGTTCCGTTTCACCGCTTTCACCGTGCTCCTTGGGCACTGTCTTCCTCCATTGGCGACGGCACGCCCATAGCAACGGGACAGCCATGATCACTATGCCGATAACTATCCCCAGCAGGATTGAAAAGTGAAGAGATAAGCTGGCTTCATCAGTGCTATTGGAGCCTCCACCTGCTGGTGGTTGTGCACGCGCTGGAGCCCAAAAATATGCATGCACGGATCCATGCACACGCACACACACGTGCACACATTCACACACACACACGCACACGCGCACGCACACACACACACACACACACACACACACACACACACACCATTTGACCATTTGACGCCCATCGCCGGAGGCGATGATAGCGATGCTACAGCAGAAGCCATAGCAGCTTGTGCTGGGATTGCACCATTCAACAGCTTGCAACGCTAAAGAATTGACCGCCACTATTCAGCCTGGTCTACACCACACAGCTATGAAGTGGCTTTTTCTGGCCAGTGAATCCCTACTTTTTGGTCGGATTCACACACGCACGCACGCACGCACACGCACACACACAACATGTATTGCAAGCTGCAACTGGTAGAATATAACCAGAACGTATTTGCATCATGCAATGTCGAGATAATGCCGAGATAATCTGTCCAGCTTAGTGCTGACGCCTATCCAGAAAGATGTTGCTACCTGGGGCGAAAAGTGTTTTTGTGACTCAGCTTCCACATCGATGAAACCGACTGACTTAAAAATCTATACAGGTCGTCCCTCGCTAATACGTCATAATCTCTGGGACTTGAAAAATGTTATGTATTTTAACTTGGATTTGTACCAGAATTTTTCACTTTTTTCAACTTTTCTCAGTGTTTCTTCCTACCGTGACTTAGGAGCAAGATATTCTTGATTCCCTCGATATAACATAAAAATTATGTTATAACACTACTGAGTCACAGTCAGCGAAGATTCTACAGTTTACATGATGCATGCCCAGCGGCGCCTGTGCAACGGCACTCGAAAAATAAAACAGAGCTTTGTCGGTTTGTGATGATGTGCACTCTGATTTCTGAGCTAATTGCGTCCACAAGAAGAAACTGGAACACGATCATCGGATGTGCCTCCGCTGGAAGGCCAAAAGACCAAACAAATCATGTACTATTGAGGTAGATGGCATGCGGATATGGGAAATGTTATTTACAAACAAACTATGTACTAACCGACAAAATTTGTATGGAAGTGATGACGTTTCGTTCGGGACTTGAGATTTCTTATACCGTAAAGTACCGCCAGAGCGCCCCATCTTGCGAGAGTGCCCCACCTTGATGTTACGGCCAAGGGAAGAACATTGTATGGCAGAGTGCTACTAAGACTGTACGGTGTGAGAACCTTCGTGTACGAAGGTCACACTTGGCATGTTTTTATGTGGAGCTCGCATCCGCTCGAAGTTAAACTGGGTACGGATTGACTGCAGAACGTCCAATGTAACCTACAGACAGGAAACCACCTCCACAAGACGACCAAGAAAGGACGAGATGGTGGGGCGCTCTGGCGGTACTAGCCGGGTTTAGCTGCTCACCGGACTCGTACTAACAGGGGACGAGCTGTAGTCGTTACATACCAGTGTTCGTCGTTGTTGAAGTGGCCGGTGATGTGGGCAATGACGTCACCGATGATGTAACAGGTGATATTGGTAGTGATGTCACCGGTGATGTGGTGACATTCGCTGTCGACGATGAAGAGGGAGGTGCATTGCTGTGGCTGGAGGAAGGGCTGGGCAATGGCGCAGTGCGTTGTTCTAGGAACAAAGTCATATTCAAAATTTACAAAATTTTAGCAGGTTTTGCTTTCCAGCTTGTAACATGGAAACTGATTTTATAAAATCCTCGCAACACGTAAACTCGAAAGCTCTGTTGCCAATGAGTATCCTATCAAAGCATATCACCACTGCATTATAGTCCGCCTCTGACTTACGTTGACATGTGGGATTAGGCTGAGACCATGTCCTGTTAGCCAAACACCATGCTGCTAGAAAACCACTTGGATGACCCACCATGAAATAGCCTATATTACATTGATAATCTACTCTGTCTTGGTACCTCAGACCTGTGTAACTGTAAGCACCATTGGCAGGGTGACCTGGGCGTGGACAACTGATACCTGGGAATCGTTCAATGTCAATGACACACACACACACACACACACACACACACACACACACACACACACACACACACACACACACACACACACACACACACACACCCACTACAGCACACAGCAGCTTGTGGTACGGAGGGTGCTGGCCAGCGGAGTTAGAGGCTACGGAGAGAGATCAAGGGTCGGCCGGGTAGACACTGTCGGAGCAGGATCTTGGCGGAGCCAACTTCGTAGGATAGTCACGTCCGAGGGACGAATACCGAGAGCCCTGAGTAGCCGGAAGTGAGCGTGGCCAACATCCCTTTTTTACTTTATCAAAGTAAATGAGAGATGAGAAATGGGAGGTGGGTGGGTAAAACACAACAGTGACCGGGCGACTGGTGTACGCATGAGCAGAACTGACCGTTGCAGCGAGAACAGCAAACACCATATGACGCTCTGTCAGACTTGGTTGCTCGATGGCCACGGTCGCACTTGTGACGTCTGAAACCAGGCACTGACTTGAATTGCCGATTGCATGTCACACACAAGAGAGAAGCTGGGACGTTGAGCGGAATAGATGATGCCGGTGAGGACGCTTCCGATGGTTCCAGGGGCAAACAATGAAGCACACGCAAGCCACCATGAGAGTGAAACCACCTCCAGCATGTACCACACTGCACAGCACCACGCTGATCCTGGATGGGGAGACTCCGCTCTGCGCGACACTTGTGCCTTGCTTCGTCACCTGGCCGGCGAAACAAACGGTGGCAGATAAGACAGTCCACCCGTTGAGATTGGTCTTGGGAAGGACCGCCAAGGCCCGGCACAACGGCAGATGCCCGCCAGGCAGACCGATCCTGAGCAATCCCATACCAAGCCAGATGCTCAATGCCGATGTCCCGAAGATCAGCCGAAATCACATCCCTGCAGCGACGACGGGGACCACACGCAGGCCGAGGCAACGGTAGGAATCCAAACAACAGCTGCTTGGGCACACGGACATCCGGCATGCGGGCCACATGGCCAAGCCATTCAAGCCTCCGCTTCCGAAGCCGGGAGGACAATAGCGATGGATCACCCCACATCTCTCGGAGCTGCATCATTGGTGATGCGTTCCTCCCACTGCTGTGTTTGCGAAACACATGGGATGCTACGTTATGCATTGGTGGTGGAAGCTATCGAGGTGCCGGAGGTCACCCTGCAAAGGGCACCAGCACTCCGAAGCGTACAGTAACACTGTCATCACACAGGCGTTATACAATCGGCGCTTCACATGGAGTGAAAGATCACGATTAGCAAACACATCCTGGAGCCATCCAAAGGCATGCGAGGCGAGTGACAAACGCCTCGACACTTCTCCCGCAGAACGCGCATCTGGAGTGATGACAGAACCCAGATAAACAAAGGAGGAAACATTTTCCACCACCTGTCCATGAAGCGGAATGCCAGCAATGTCAACTGCAGTAACACCAACACCAGCCACCACAAAATTGGTCTTGGCTATACTCACAGTGAGGCCAAATTCAGCAGAAACATCCTGGAACACCGTCAAGGCCAACACAGCATGCTCCCGCGAACCAACTACAAAGTTTGCATCACACACACACACACACACACACACACACACACACACACACACACACACACACACACACACACACACACACACACACACACACACTTGTACTAGTACTTGTTGCTCACTGCCAAAACTGGTCACGTGGGTCTCCCCGGGAGAGGGGAGAGAGACTCAAAAGGAATCTTGGAAAGATGACTCAATTGGCTATTGAACCACCCAAAACGGCCGACACCCCCTGAAATCCCCAAAACTCTGGGTGGACTTGAAAATGATCCCACTTATGGGCTCACCACACCTCAGTAAGTGGGTGAGGACAAGGTGCAAAAAAAGGATTGACAGCATCCGGGTATCCGTCCAGGGATCCAACTGCAGTTACTCCTGCCCCCAGTGAAGGTAATACTTGCTACTAGTGTGGGTGGCTAAATCAGACACACACACACACACACACACACACACACACACACACACCATGTACCATGTATACGCCCGTCGCAAGAGAAGCACGCAAATCTGCAAATGCACTGGATGTGCACCCACAGATTTTCTCTTATAGCAACGATAGCGAACAAGATCTGAATGAGACAGATCAAGACTTGCGCCAGATAACTGTCTAATTCACACAACTGGCGAAGCCATGTGAATCGACCACCAATGCACACCTGGTCTACACCACACGGAGCACATCGGCATAAAACGGCCAAGACAGTTACCTATGCACACCCTACACTTGCTGGGGTAACCAGTATAGACAGCACGCTGCTTTGACAGAAGCAGACACTAGATGCACTGGTACCTTGAAGTGAAATTGGAGTTACTTTACCAACTAGCCTCGGCTACTGAGTACTGGGAACCCAGAGCCAACAGACATATCAACAACCTTAGCCTTGAAAGCTATAATAATAGTAACGACACACTGGATTGTGGAGCCGAAACTAGTCCAACTTCCAAATGCCTTGGCAAGAAGGTAGCCTTCCGACAGGACACACACACACACATACACACACACACACCATCACTTCTGAGGCACTACATAGGTTAAATCGTTAGATCCCCGTATTCCCCACAACACCCAATTTGAACAAAGGTAAGTATTGGATATCATTCCTATCGTGCAGGGAAATGAATCGATGAAGGCAAAGAGAGACGGGATTAATGGATTCCACTGAAGAAGGTTGAGGAGAACGCTCTATTTGACTGTGCACTTCAAAAGCAGGGAGCAAAAGATCGTTTTCTTCTTCTTTTTTCTCTACAATATACACAATTCACCGACAGGCACATGGGGCTAGCATGGGGTGAGATGGTGCTGGTGGGACCTCGTCTCGAGTACTAGATTATTCGTTCGTGAGCTAGGCCAGGGTGGTCGTTTAATAGTGATTGTGTGCGATATGAAGTGTCTTTCATGTCGGTTGGCTTGCCAATCGTAAGTATGCCACGAGTCACGATAAAGTGCACATAAAAAAGGGAGGGTAGGGGAGTGAAGGGCAGGGGAAGGAAGGGGGGGGGGGGGGGAGTGCACATGCTATGCAAATAAGGGAAAGAATGCATGCCAGGCCAAGAACCCTTCCTCAAATTTTCCAGTTGGATCGGTTAGAGTATCACTTACGTTGACATGTAGGTTTGAGTCGAGACCATCGTCCAGTTCCGGTGCATGCCACCGTGAGGGTACCACTTGGTATGTTCGGCATCTCATAACCTCTGTTACAGCGGTATCGTATTATATCTCCCAAATCCAATCCTGTTCTTATATATTGACCATAAAAAGGTGGACCCGGATCAGCACAATGTATCTCTGTTACATGGACAACACAATTCCGTACAGTGATTAGGACAGGCTATAACAAGACACAAAAAAGCGAGGAAAAAAGCGAAGAAAACATGGATGCAGTGAATGGGATTTCGGTCTTTGACCACTTGCTGGTGAGCTGATCTACTCACCTCCCATCGCTTTGGGAGCTACATCTGCGCCTTGATCCTTGAAGGGTGCTGGCGTTCTTACGGATGCGGAAAATTCGGCCTCTAGCTGAGTCTGACGTGAACAGTGAATTTTTTCTCTTTTTTACCAAGACATGTACTGCAACAATGGAGCCTACGCATTAATCCAGACAAAACAGAACGCACGACTCTCATCAGAAGAGCACAGATATCGGCACATGCATGAGAGGAAGGCTAGAACACAAGGAAGGGGAACTGTTGAACTGTGCTAATCATACGGTTGCACATGTACCGGTACTGCGGACGTGCTAGACAAGTACTTTGAAGTATGGTAGACTTGGTAAAGGGAGGAGGAAGACATCACTCAGCTGTCATATGAAGGGAAACGTCAGGTGCCGCACTAGGGCACAGCTCAGTTGGCAGCCAAATGCCGAATGGAGGCCATAATCATGCTGTACGGATCCCCAGACTTGTCAGCCGTCAGGGACGCTATCGGCTTGTGGAGCGCCGTGGCAGCATTCCCCTCCGGTGGTCGAGAAGACAGCTGGGACAAAACTTGAATGCTCCACTACACGAATACGTTGCTCATATGCCTGAGATCGCATTGAGGAGGAATGGCGTATGACAAAGAAACTTGGTTCGCTACTGGAGGACTGTGAGGTCGTGGCCCGCAGGAAGCAACTGGCAGCAGCAGCATTTGCATCTTTGTGGTCATTTTGGAAGAGAGGATCCATCATCAGCGAGAAGTGCAGAATCAGATTGTACAAGGCACTTGTACTTCCAATTCTCCTATATAACTCAAGCCACCTTGGGCTCTGACTAAGTCCGCACTGGAGCAGCTTGATGCGTTTCATCGGCGGCAGCTCAGATCATTGGTCCAAGTAAAATGGCCGCAGAAAATCTCCAACGTGGCCCTTTACCAGCAATGCAGCGCAGAACCTCTGAGCGGGGGTGTGAAGACTGACTCTCACACAACACTTGGTATCGCCAAAAACACTTTAACCCTAGAACTACCAAAATTTCAACTATCCTAGAATTACCGGAGGCATCATATGACTCCACCGGACTTTAACATACCTGTTTGGTATTCTTTTTGGCAATATGTGTAGAAACGGAAGTCATTGGGCTATGATGGTACCCTTTGAAAGGAAGAACCGATTGCAGATGTACTATCTTGGAGACCAGCAGCTGGCAGTGCGCACAGCGAAAGGGCGACCTCTCGTCAGTTTACGGAAAATATAAGAACATTTGCTTTCCATGCTCATCTTGCAAACTCCATATTTCAGTCTATTACCCAGGAAATGGCTGCTGTTGCTTCGCCAACTTGCTGGATTTGTCTGAGCAAGGTTGGTCATTCTTTGACTGCTGTGATAAATACATCTATGAGTGAAAGGAGAAAGTGGTGTCGCGACTCATAGCAAACGAATAAATCCGTTCACCGTCGTGTCCGGAGACAATCTTTGTGATCAACTTGAACCTCAAGTAGCAGAGTAGTTCCTGGAAACTATTTCTAGGGACGAGAGAGCTTGGAAGCTCAGGGCCCTGCGCTATGCTTTGTTGCCTAGCTTATCGTTTATGTTGTTAGAACTGATGGAAATGCTTTTTCCTTTGATTAGCTACATCATTGTATTGCAAAAACGTTTCAATGAGATACTGAAGTAACGTCTTTTGCATAGCTGTGGGACTGGCGCTGACTCTCCCGATCACGGGCGTTCTGGATTCGACGGAATGTCTGTCCTGATGTTTCTTGGGACCGGCGCCGACTCTGCCGATCACGGGCGTTCTTCTTCGTCTTATTATTATTATTATTATTATTATTATTATACTGACGGCAACTAACATCCATTCTGATTGGATTTACTCGTCTCCCTACTTCGTATTTCTTTCCAGAAAATCTCCCCATACAGCAGGGAGTTGTTTACATAATATGACTCCCTGCTATACATCTACATGACTGTATATACGTTATTGTTGTAAACCACCAGTTCTCAATTGGGAAAGGCCTTCGCGCTTATGGCATTGTATTCGTTGAAATGTTGTATTTCGACTCCGCCGTACCGCTGATGTTGCTGCATGGCATACGCTATATGCGTTGTGTGCATTTTGCTGTATACGCTGTTATGTCCAGTTTTATCTGCTTATGTTTTGCATGTACGCTGTTTTTGCATGCTATAAATAGCTGGTGTTATTAGTGTTCATTGTTAATTATCAGATGAAGTGAAATATACTGTGTAAAGGAAAACAGTTGTCCTCGTGCCGTGTGGTCGTACGATCCTGACAATTTAGAGAATCTTAGCAGGGTTCACAACATTTGGCGACCACGCCAGGATAGGAGCGAGCATGGCAGAGGAACTATGGAACAATTTGGAAGCCAGCTTTATCGACAATGGAGAGCGGTTAGGATTAGAAGGCGAGTTGTTGAAGGTACATGTGGAGCAGAGGCTCCAACAGTACGCGGAGCGTGAGGAGCGCAGTGCCAGACGGCGAGAGGAGGCGCTCCGCACCGAGTTTGCCAAAACACTAAAGGAGATTAACGAGCGCATCGCCAATGCGCAGGAGGGTGAGGGTAAAGCCACGATGGGAGGTACAGAGGAATCTCCCAGTCACAGCGGTGGGCGTCAACCGGTGATGAAAATCCCCTCATATGATGGAACGCAGCCATTGGAGCGTTATCTTGACCTGTTCGAGGACATCTGTTCCAAGAACGAGTTCGAAGAAAGCGAATGGCTGCTGCGACTGCGCATCGCGCTAGCGGGTAGCAAAGCGGAGAGGATATGTATTGGATGCAACAATTACGAGGAAGCAAAGCGAGAGTTGCTTGCCTCGCTCGGAAAGACTCCGGATAAAGCGTGGAAGACATTGCTGACAGGCAAGCAGCGGTCAGATGAGTCGTTTCATCAATACGTTGTCCGTGTTTGCCGAGAGGTAGAGGTGTGGGCCACACTCGCTATGACAGAAGATGGCGAGGTGGGCACCAAGTATAGCGCCGATATAGGTAAAATGGCCCCGGTGCTGCAAGCAATGGCAAAGCAGGTAATCTTGGAGCAATGCGGACCTGAGATGAAGACGTACCTGGTCGAACGGCAGTGCTACGGGATGTCACTGCGCCAGGTACAGGAGCACGGCGCGTCTTACCAGGTCGCGCACGGACGACAGGGTGATACTGCCAGGAAGCCAGTAGAACGATCCGTGCCAAGGCCCACGGCGTCGGCACAGTGCATGGCGATATCGGTCGCAGATGCAGAGAAGCAGCTAAAGTCGCTGCCACAGGAAGAGAGAAAGGGTTTTCTGCAGCGAGAGAGACTCTGCTGGAACTGCCTTAAGTATGGCCATATGGCCAGAGAATGTCGGTCAGGCTCGAGATGCACGAAATGCCAGAGGAAACACCACCTGCTAATACATGATGTGTTGGATAGAGCAGGTTACAGCCGGGAGAAACCGACTGAGATAGTTACGGAGAAGAATGTTGGGTCGTGCTGTCTACACTCGCCAAGTGTGCGGCTGATGACCGGAGTGGCACGAGTTGAGGGAAGAACTCGAAACGCGAAGGTTCGAGTGTTCCTGGACTCGGGTGCTGAGGCGTCATTCGTGACTGCAGCGTTGGTGTCAGCAATCGATGCAGAACACGTTGGGGTTGAAAATGTAGAGGTGAAGCCGTTCGGCGCGGAACCAACCCAACAGCGCATGGATAAGTACGCCATCACGATCCAGGGTAGCTCCGCTAGCATTCGGGTACGCGCGTTCGTGAAACCAACGCTTGAGCTGGACCTGAAGTGCGCAAGTCCGCAGACCATTGCGCAGTGGCACAGTTGGGGAGTAGAGCTGAGTGACAAGCCTCAACAAGGGACATCAGACGAAATACATATGCTGATTGGTGCAGACTATATCAACGCGGTACTGCACAGCAAGAAGGAAGTTAATGGTGAGACGGTGTGGAACACAGAGATAGGTAATGTATTATCTGGTCCAGCGTCTGCACCAAGTCGAAACAGTCAGCCGGTGACCGTGTCATGTGTCACAGCCCACATTGAACAACTATGGCAGTTGGATGAACCTCCAGAACAACATCAGCACCTGCCATCGTTCCCGCTATGTCGCCAGGGCAGCGGGTACCAAGTGGGTCTCTTGTGGCGAAATGAGCGTCGCCCGACAGATAACTTTACTCAAGCTAGAGTCATCGCAACGCGGCTTCTTGAAAAGCTGAAGAGGAATGGGAAGCGTGCGCTCTATGATGATGTGCTGATCAGGGAGTACCGTGAGCTTGGAGCAATTGAGCTGGAGCCATGTGAGAGCGATGCCGGGTACTATGTACCGCATCATGGTGTATTCCGCGAGCACGCTGCAACCACGAAGTTAAGAGTGGTGTTCAATGCCTCGGCGACGGCTCCAGATGGCAAGTCGTTGAACGACATGGTTGACCCTGGACCGTCGCTATTGCCGAGTCTCGCAGGTATGCTATTACGGTTCCGTGAATATAAGAGCGCGCTGCAAGCGGACATCCGCAAGGCTTTCTTCATGGTCGCGGTTAATCCCGAAGACCGTCCGTACCTGCGTTTCTTGTGGCCCGGTCGAAGCGACAGCGATGAACTGTTAACCTGGAGGCTAACGAAACTGCCATTTGGCGTAAACTGCTCGCCATACATGCTTACTGCGGTGATTCAGCATCACTTGAAGGAGCTACGGGCGTTGTCTGCACCCAAAGAGCGAGATCGTATTGATCTCTTGCTCACGAGTTTCTACGTTGACGATTTGGTCTCTAGTGTCTCAAATGCCTCGGAAGCTAAGGAGATGCAAGAGTTCAGCGTGCGTGTGCTTACGGATGCTGGCATGGAGTTACGCAAGTGGCGAGGCAACGAAATCCCGTGCGATCCAGAGGCCGGAGATAAAGTTCTCGGTCTGAAGTGGAAAACCAGTGATGACTTGCTCAGCATAGCAGCGCTAGGCGAGTCCGATAGGCCGTCTGTTTGGACCCGGCGATCCCTCCTCAAGTGTGTTGCGTCAGTGTTTGATCCGCTAGGTCTAGCAGCACCGGCAGTTGTGCCTGGAAAGGTACTGCTACAGCAAGCCTGGAAAGTCGGAGGCGACTGGGATGATAAGTTGCCTGATGGCATCGCAGCCGCATGCGCGCAATGGTGGGGAGAGTTGGCCGAAGTGGTGAGCATTGACATACCACGTTGGATTTGCTGCAATCTTGACACGCCGATTGCGCTTCATGCCTTCGCCGATGCCAGTGAGAAAGCGTTTGGATGTTGTTTGTATGCAGTCGTCAATGGACAGTCGCACTTGGTATTTGCCAAGGCCAAAGTGGTACCCGTGTCTCCGCCCACGTTAGCCCGCCTTGAGTTACAAGCAGTATGTCTAGCGGCTCGCTACGCTGAGTTTGTGGTGAAGGAGCTGCGTGTGACCGTCACGCAAGTCTATGGCTGGACTGACAGTCTCACTACCGTTCATTGGATCAGTAATCCATCGTACAAATGGAAAACATTTGTGGCTAACCGCGTCAGTCAAGTCCAAGAGATATCGAAGAAAGTCGGCATTGTGTGGAACCATTGCCCAGGCCTTCACAACCCAGCAGATTTACCGTCGCGTGGGAGTAGTGCACAGCAGATCCGTAGTCCGTTCTGGAGGGGCGGACCAACCTGGATCACGGAGCCCAATGACTGGCCCACCGCATCCTCAACCGCAGCTACAGATGAGTCCAGTGTAGAAGTACGAGTGTCAGCCACCACCTGTAGTCGAGAATCTGATAAGGAATGGTGGCTCCGATTCAGTAAATGGTCGAGGGCACAGGGCATGGTGACTCGGATGTTGCAGTGGAAGCACACTGAGCCTCGTGCTGAACTCTATTTTGCAGCAGACAACGTATTGTACCGCATCGTTCAAGCCGCATGTTTCGCTGAGGATCTTGAGCTGATCAAGCAAGGTCAACCAGTGAAGCCTGGGTCGAAGGTGTATCAGCTTGCACCGTTTCTGGATGAGCATGGAGTGCTCAGAGCCGGGGGACGACTTCAGCACAGCGAGTTGGCGTATGGAGCCAAGCACCCAGTCCTGTTAGGCAAACATCATCTGACCGAGTTGCTGTTGGAGAAAATGCATGTTGAAAGGATGCACCAAGGTGTAGAAGGAGTCTTGTCGTTCATCCGTCAGAAATTCTGGATTATCGGTGGTCGACGGGCGCTACGCAACATTACTCAGCGATGTGTTACATGCCGCCGCTACAAGGCTAAGGCTGCCTCAGAAGTCTGCCCGCCGTTGCCGGAAGACCGAGTTGTTCACGAGAGGCCTTTCGCAACTACCGGCATCGACTATGCTGGTCCGTTGTACGTGCGCCGTGGTGAGTCATCTCCGAAGGTATGGATAGCATTGTTTGTGTGTGCCACCACCAGAGCAGTTCACTTGGAGGTGGTCGATAGTTTAAGTACCGAGTCATTCTTGATGGCATTTCGGAAGTTTGTCGCGAGACGTAGTTTGCCGTCTCGGATCAGGTCTGACAACGCTACAACGTTCAAGGCGGCATCTGACAAACTGGGTGTGCCATGGATGTTCAATCCTCCAGCTGCACCATGGCATGGAGGCTTCTATGAGCGAATGGTTGGTACAGTGAAGAGTGCCTTGAAAAAGGTAATGGGAACAGCGTTTCTGAAGGTCCAGGAGCTTGAGACCCTCTTGTATGAGGTTGAAGCAGTGGTGAATAGCCGTCCGCTAACTTATGTGTCTGATAGCCTGGATGAGCCACCAGTAACCCCTGCAATGATGATGGGTGACATCTGGATGTCGTCAGAGAAGCCAGCAGGTACCCTGGACGCTGCGCAGATGTCATCGAGATTGCGTTACCTCAGTCGGACACTGGAGCATGTCAAGAATCGTTGGGAGGTGGAGTACCTAAGTCAGCTGAACAAACACCAACAGACCATGTCGCGCCCTTTAGCTGTGGGTGATGTTGTCTTTGTTCTCGATGATACCAAGCGCAAACAGTTCTGGCGTTTGGGACGGATCATCGAGTTATTCCCTGGTCGAGATGGTAAGCGTCGTGTTGCCAAGGTTAAGTTGAGTACCAGTACCCTGTTGAGGCCGATCCAAAGGTTAGTGCCGTTAGAAGTATCGTCACAGGACGTGGCTCCTGGGCTTGCAGATACCGCTCAACCTGCTATCGTCCCTCAGCAGCCAGCGTATGAACCGTCAGCACCGTTACCACCACCACGGCAGCAGGAGATAACGCGTTCTGGGCGCGTAGTCAGAGCCCCGGATCGTTTTTGACTTGTGTGCATTGTTGTACGGTGGTGAGAAGCCCTTTGGTGGGGAGAATGTTGTAAACCACCAGTTCTCAATTGGGAAAGGCCTTCGCGCTTATGGCATTGTATTCGTTGAAATGTTGTATTTCGACTCCGCCGTACCGCTGATGTTGCTGCATGGCATACGCTATATGCGTTGTGTGCATTTTGCTGTATACGCTGTTATGTCCAGTTTTATCTGCTTATGTTTTGCATGTACGCTGTTTTTGCATGCTATAAATAGCTGGTGTTATTAGTGTTCATTGTTAATTATCAGATGAAGTGAAATATACTGTGTAAAGGAAAACAGTTGTCCTCGTGCCGTGTGGTCGTACGATCCTGACAATTTAGAGAATCTTAGCAGGGTTCACAACAGTTATAATTATTATGCTATCGGCCTACATGCGATTCCCGGGCTGGTCGACAGGCGGCTCAGCCAGCCTGCTAGTGGGATCTCGGCCTCGCACACAAATCTACACAAAATGTTACTGCACTGAATGCATTCCCCCGATACACTTCGCATATATACTCATTCTCTTGATGGTACCGTACTCTTGATGGTACGGGACAGGTACGGGATAGCGCCAGGCATATCGATGGCACAAACAAACAAAAATATTGTGGCCAGCTGTCTTTGCTGGTACGGTACAGTACGGGACAGATACGGGATAGAGCCAGGCGTGACACAAACAAACAAACAAACACCAAATTAAAGCTGTGTGGACCCTGGCTAGCGCCAGACGTTACTGAAGTAACGTCTTCTGCATAGCTACGGGAATTAAATTTTATTATATCGCCTCCATTCTTATCCAGCCGAAGGGCCGTCGACAGATTATTGTGGGTACAGAGGACGCCTGTTGCGAAAAGTTGCGAAACAAATGCCATGAAATTGCCTTCACTCAAAGTAGAGTCCTCTCCCATTTTCCGTTTTCCCTCCTACCTTGTGCACTTGATCATGACATGGATCATATTCTGGTCAATAACTGCGAATAATGCATCTGTTCCATCTGAAAAATTCGAATATCCCGAAAAAGCCGGCAAACGTCCGAAGCAACAACCGGTTGCGTGCGTTCGGGGTTGCTTGGGGCACCACATTTTCTGCAATCTACCAACCTTGCCAGAGAACACAGTTTCACGAAAGAAATCTTTCCCGAGTGTTGGAGGTTGATGCTCTGGTATGGGAATGGCTCCATAGCTTTATAACCACCGTTATCCATTTGCTCCTTCGACTCGGATCCTGTATCAGACTCATCGTGAAGCCGGAGTTATCCGCTTGCTCCTTCGACTCGAATCCTGGATCAGACTCATCGTGAAGCCGGAGTTATCCGCTTGCTCCTTCGACTCGGATCCTGTATCAGACTCATCGTGAAGCCGGAGTTATCCGCTTGCTCCTTCGACTCGGATCCTGTATCAGACTCATCGTGAAGCCGCAGTTATCCGCTTGCTCCTTCGACTCGGATCCTGTATCAGACTCATTGTGAAGCCGGAGTTATCCGCTTGCTCCTTCGACTCGGATCCTGTATCAGACTCATCGTGAAGCCGGGGCAATTAGTTTTTCACTTCGGCATAATTTTAACTATGTGTTTCTGTGTTCGGTCACTTCTAATTATAACCTTCGCCCACAATGGTCCTGTCACTCGCCTCGCATTCATCCCCAAATTCCTGCCCAGAAATTTATCAAAATCAAGTGAAATGCTTTATCGGCAGCGACACTACGCCTGCCGAACATGGCCTCCGCCAGACCAACCTAAACTCCAAGAACGTTCCAAGAATATTATAACTGCACTGGCACTTCATATCGTTCTATGCTGCAGATGATAATTATAGTGGATCACCTTCCAAACTTCGGGCGAACAAATTTGTCGGTTTTGACAAGATTCAGGATTACAATAATGACCACAACGACCATAACTACACATGAAATATGCATATTAGCATTTCCATATGTACAAATTACCACTTTCATGGTCCCCCATCTCCTTGCTCCCAGTATTCCTCTTTACGTTATTCACGTGTGGTTCTCAGCCAAATTCGCCCTCTTATTGATGGCTGTAGTATGTGGAGTCATATGATGCCGCGCGGTAGTTCTAGGTGGCACCCCCTGGCATTTCGGAACTGCACTCAAATTTTGGAGTTACAGCTCACTGCCATTTTAATGGCAGTGAGCTGTAAACCATAATACATGTACAAAATAAATAAAAGTCACAAAATTTGGGGAGATTCCAACTGATTCATGTGTGTCACTCAGAGTTACAACAAGTTTTTCATCCTCTACTTCTTGAAAGTAGCCACTGCCCATTTGGGCATAGAGCACTGTTCTGGACAGCCTGAAACCTTTCTGTTGCACTTCCCACAATGTGTTAACTCGACAGCTCTGTTGCCAATGAGTATCCATTGATACAACCGGCAAATGATAGTCCGCCTCTGACTTACGTTGACATGTGGGTTTAGGATGAGACCATGTCCTGTTAGCCAAACACTGTACTGCTAGAAAACCACTTGGATGACCCACCATGAAATAGCCTATATTACATTGATATCTTAATACGTCCAGGTATAGGAAGTTTGAGTCTCTGCGGGGGTAAACGCCATTCGTAAGTGGACTTGGGTGTGGACAACTGATACCTGTGAACCGTTCAATGTCATGGACACACACACATGCGCACAAACACAAAAGCATATGCACACACACACACACATACACACACACACACACACACACACACACACACACACACACACACACACACACACACACACACATACACACATGCACACACATACATACACACACACATACATACACACAGATACGAACACATACACATACACATACACACTTGTACTTGTACTTGTACTTGTTGCTCACTGCCAAAACTGGTCACGTGGGTCTCCCCGGGAGAGGGGAGAGAGACTCAAAAGGAATCTTGGAAAGATGACTAAATTGGCTATCGAACAGCCCAACGGCCGACACCCCTGAAATCCCCAAAACTCTGGGTGGACTTGAAAATGATCCCACTTATGGGCTCACCACACCTCAGTAAGTGGGTGAGGACAAGGTGCAGAAAAAGGATTGACGACATCAGGGTATCCGTCCCGGGATCCAAGTGCAGTTACCCCTGCCCCCCAGTGAAGGTAATACTTGCTACTAGTGTGGGTGGCTAAATCAGAGTGGATCTGATTCAAGCTTCACTAGCACCATTGATTACACAAGAGTTAATCTAGCCAGAAGTAGTCCATGGGTTAACAGGTATGTATACTTCAAATAGAAAGTATTATGAACCCTGAAACCAACAAAGGTGGTAGGTACAACATTACACCTTCAAGCAGCCGAGCCCGTTGGCAACAGACCCAACACTATCCGGCATAAGTGTACCCACCAACCGAACTAGCTGGCACACACACACACACACACACACACACACACACACACACACACACACACACACACACACACACACAAACACACACACACATACACACACACATACACAAACATACACACACACCATCACTTCTGAGGCACTACATACTTCGAAGTAGGCTAAATCGTTAGATCCCCGTGTTCCCCACAACACCCAATTTGAACAAGGGGAAGTATTGGATATCATTCCTATCCAGGGAAATGAATCGATGAAAGCAAAGAAAGACGGGAATCATTAATTCCACTTAAGAAGGCAGGGACCAAAAGATCGTTTTTATCTTCTTTTTTTCTACAATATACACAATTCACCGGCAGGCACATGGGGCTAGCATGGGGTGCGATGGTGCTGGTGGGACCTCATCTCGAGTAGACCCAGGTGCTCGAAGTCCGTACACTTTTACAGTGTGTTTGCCGAGCTGAAACTCACACTAGCAATGATCACTTGCCAGAATCCTGCTCGTGGATGGAAGGTATCTTGTCCAAGTTTGTTCTGAGGCGAGGCTCGATTGAACCAGGCCATCTTTCGATCCGATCTGTTTCTCTGGAGTTCGCTGATTTTGCATATTAAATTTTGGTGTCGCAGAGGGTCCTCTAAGTCCGTACTGATCAGAGGTGACTCGAAATACACACATATTTCTGCTAATTGCTAACTTGCAATCCCTCGGTTATGACGAAAGCACCGAAGGGATATGGTTGGCATGTGCCTCCACCAGTATTTCTTGCAAAAGCGTAGTTTGTCGCCGAAATGCAAGCTGTTTTTAGTCGGCTCAGAGAAGAAGCAGCTGCGCTGTGAAAACCGCGGGAAAACAGTGGTGGAGATGCCAGGAGTGTCAACCTTTCTGCAAGGATTGGTGGTTCTCTGTAAATTCTTTTCCTCTTGCCATTCTCAACTCTAAGCTGGCTCTTGATGATTGAGTGAAGGTCTGTTTGACGCTGTGTCCGTTCGAAATCGGTCTTGGCAAAGTTGATTTTTGCATGAAATGTAACCCAAATTGTATTTCGTATGGACACTCGAAAACCCACTCGCGTGGCATGGGACTTCTGCTTATCGTAGATCCCTGAAAATTGCTACGCGAGGAGAACATACCACACTGTCCCCTCCATAAAATATTTGAGTCGAATACAATAACAGAACATGACATTATGGGCGTACGGACTTAGGATACCATGTACGGACTTCGAGCACCTGGGTCTACTAGATTATTCGTTCGTGAGCTAGGCCAGGGTGGTCGTTAGTGGTTGTGTGCGATACGAGCTTGCTATAATGAAGTGTCTTTCATGTCGGTTGACTTGCCAATAATAAGCATGCCACGAGTCACGACAAAGTGCACGTAAAAGAAAGGTGGGTAGGGGAATGAAGGAGGAGGGGAGCGCACATGCTATGCAAATAAGGGAAAGAATGCATGCTAGGCCAAGAACCCTTCCTCAATGTTCCAGTTGGATCGGTTAGAGTATCACTTACGTTGACATGTAGGTCTGGGTCGAGACCATCGTCCAGTTCCGGTACATGCCACTACGAGTGTGTCACTTGGTATGTTCTGCATCTCATAACCTCTGTTACAGCGGTATCGTATTATATCTCCCAAATCCAATCCTGTTCTTATATATTGACCATAAAAAGGTGGACCCGGATCAGCACAATGTATCTCTGTTACATGGACAACACAATTCCGTACAGTGATTAGGACAGGCTATAACAAGACACAAAAAAGCGAGGAAAAAAGCGAAGAAAACATGGATGCAGTGAATGGGATTTCGGTCTTTGACCACTTGCTGGTGAGCTGATCTACTCACCTCCCATCGCTTTGGGAGCTACATCTGCGCCTTGATCCTTGAAGGGTGCTGGCGTTCTTATGGATGCGGAAAATTCGGCCTCTAGCTGAGTCTGACGCGAACAGTGATTTTTCTCCTTTTTTTTTTACCAAGACATGTACTGCAACAATGGAGCCTACGCATTAATCCAGACAAACAGAACGCACGACTCTCATCAGAAGAGCGAATTGCATTGAGGAGGAATGGCGTATGACAAAGAAACTTGGTTCGCTACTGGGGGACTGTGAGGTCGTGGTCCGCAGGAAGCAACTGGCAGCAGCAGCATTTGCATCTTTGCGGTCATTTTGGAAGAGAGAATCCATCATCAGCGAGAAGTGCAGAATCAGATTGTACAAGGCCCTTGTACAGTCAACTTGGCTAATAACAATGACTGCGGATATCACGACAATCCGCAAATAACGACAGAATTTCCATGTCCAGATCAAAGTCCCATCTAACTGTAATACATATAATGGGACTTCGGGTATAACGACACTTCGTGAATAACGACACTTTTTATGATGACCCGCCGAGTGTCGTTATACGCAAAGTTGACTGTACTTCCTATTCTCCTATATAACTCAAGCCGCCTTGGGCTCTGACTAAGTCTGCACTGGAGCTTGACGCGTTTCATCGGCGGCAGCTCAGACTGATCACTGATCCAAGTAAGATGGCAGCATAAAATCTCCAAAGCGGCCCTTGACCAGCGATGCAGCGCAGAGCCTCTGAGCCGTGGTGTGAAGACTGACTCTCACGCAACACCAAGTTGGTATCGCCAACACACTTCAAAAGGTACAAGCTGACTTGACCACTCCGTCAGGAGCTGATTCAGATGTAGGAAATTGACCAAAAAGTGGATTTAGCATGTTTTCGCATTGCTTCTCACATAGAGATTGTTTTTATTCAATCTGAGGACAGTATGTTGTTTCGTTCTTTGTGAACTCATCAGCGCAGCACAGAGAAAATGAGGCCGAACCTGATAGCAATGAAAAATATATTTTCCAAAGCCAGATTTAAACCAGGCTTTGTATAATTCCCACAACAATATTGTTGTCTGATGATTGCCTTGAGTGTGTCAATCAGAGTTACAACACATTTTTCATCCTCTACTTCTTGTAAGTAGCCTCCGCCCATTTGGGCATAGAGCACTGTTTTGGACAGCCTGGAGCCTTTTTGTTGCAATAGACCAATCCCAAAAAGATTGTCTGGGTTCGTGAAAGGGGGCACGCGTGCAAGCCAGCTCGTGTGTAGTGCATCGTTTTGTGTTCAGTTTGTATGCGTCAGCTCATGGCGGAGGAGAGAGACGTTTGCTCGCCGAGCTGAAGCTATAGGATTTGATGGAGTCCTTCCAGCAGCTAGTCAAAGGACCTTCGGTACCTTAAGCAGACCCTGACGGAGTTTGGAGGCCAGCTAGCTCTCGGTGAGGAGAGAAACATTCACGTGGCGATCAACTCTCCGTAAAAAAATACAAGCTACATAGCGCAGGCATACCGCAACAGCTAGGATTTCAACTACCGTGTTTTACCGGTTATAAGTCGACCCCGGTTATAAGTCGACCCCCGTATCCGGAGGTCTCAGTTCTGCGTTTTAAAGTTATCACCCAACAAAGCACTACTAACTACTCCCTGCTACTAACACATCAACAAATCATGTAAACATTCATTATTGGAGGGTATAACGTCCCAATCCTTGAAAAAGGCCAATAAACTGGAAAAAATGTGTACACACAGTGCACTCGTGCATGCAGTGCAGGTCATTTTTTTTTAAAGATACTGATATTCCCCGGTTATAAGTCGAATCCCGGTTGTAAGTCGACCCCCACCCTTTTCCTTCTATTTTTAGTCGTGAAAGGTCGACTTACAACCGGAAAAATACGCTACTTACTTCTCGATCTGTTGCTTGACAAAGTTCAACTATTTACAAGTTCTGACTGTTGTAGTCTGAAGCTGGAGTCTCATCGCCCACCTACAGGTAGCTTTTGGAGCAAATGGATTTTCCGACTTGGACTTCTTCCGCAAACTCTCGCAACATTACTACAGTGTATGCTGTGTTTCCGCACGCTCGTGTCGACATGTCACCTACTATACATGTACCGGATCGCGGAGGCGGAGGAGCTTGACGACCTCCGCTGACTCCAGGTTGCCGGAATACTGCCGTCGTCTTCGCTCTTATCGCTGGAGACATTCTCCTCTTCCAGGACCGGCTCATAGTTTGTTGTCCCGGGGGTAGAGACTATTGTTGTCTTTCAAAATAGTTCTCCATCACGCTCACGCGAATGATGATTCTCATCATGAACTCGTTCCGACAGTGTGACATGGCGATGGTCTTTGGTGGGGCACTGGCTTGGCAAAAACGCTATCTTCTTGTGCAATATAACATTGATCGGCTGCAGATGAATACAGTCACTTAGTGGTTCGTCCTATAGGAGGAAACCTGGCAGGAAAGAGGCAGGACTCATCGAAGACGAAGCGCTCGCAACAAACAATAGCACTCGAAATATCTCGTAAGATTTACTTCAGGGCCTATCGTCTTGAGCCACAGCGCTCACAGCCTTGCCCACTTCATCAAAGTGAGCTCTACATGTTCGTTGACCTTTTCACACTACACAGCAGAGCGAAACAAGGATTATGGCATATCATTTGACTCCAACAGCAGAACATGACCAGTGCGAAAGAGAAAACCCACAAAGGACTTTGCTTTCTGTCGCATCGTCTCTCTTGCATGCAACTAACGAGAAAACCGTGTACTTACCCCCGCTTCCACACGCGAACTATCAAACACGTACTGTGCCACACGCTGATCAGGTAGTGCCATGTATGTGTTGCACAGTGTACTCTCAGTTGACATGCCCCCTTTCGAACCCAGACAATCTTTTCGGGATTGGTCTATTCCCACAATATGTTAACTCGAAAGCTCTGTTGCCCATGAGTGTCCATTGATACCACCAGTAAAATGATGATAGTCCGCCTCTGACTTACGTTGACATGTGGGTTTACGCTGAGACCATGTCCTATCAGCCAAACACCGTACTGTTAGAATATTACTTGGATGACCCACCATGAAAAAGCCGGCATCACATTGATAACGTATTGTGTCCTGGTAATCCGAGTCTGTGCGTGGGTAACCGCCATTCGTAAGTGGACTTGGGTGTGGACAACTGATACCTGTGAACCGTTCAATGTCATGGACACACACACACACACATGCGTACAAACACAAAAGCACATACACACACACCAATTTACACACCATCACTTCTGAGGCACTACATAGGTTAGATCGTTAGATCCCCGTACTCCCCACTACACCCAATTTGAACAAAGGTAAGTATTGGATATCATTCCTGTCAAGGGAAATGAATCGACGAAGGCAAAGAGGGGATTCATGAATTCCACTGAAGAAGGTTGAGGAGAACGCTTTATTTAACTTCAAAAGCAGGGAACAAAAGACCGTATCGCCGAGTACCCGACTGCTCGCCCGTGAGCTACGCCAGGATGGTGGTTAGGGTCGGTTCACATAAGCCGAATCGGCGCCGGGAAGCACCGGCGGTGAGCCAGCTCCCGATACGTTGCGCATACGGTTCGAGTACCAAATCTACTAACTTAGTAGTACAAAATGCGCCCAAATACTACCCCAGGTTTGCAAATTGAAGCTTGAATTCCTTGTTTCTTCAGTAGTTCAAGGTCTTTCGGTGATGGCCACTCGATGCTACCTTTTACTGGAGATCATGAAACTACTTCTACATTGTACACCTTTTATTGCAGTCTAGCAAGCGATGGTGTCAAAATTGTGTATGCAAACGTTGATGAAGTCACAAGAACTTGCCAATGTATCCTTCGTATTTTTTATTTGTTTCAATGGTATTTGTCTCATAAGTAGCACAACAGTCAAGCAGATTATCCGAGAAGGGCGGGTTGGTATGCTGACTTAATTTGCCCCTTTGAAGCGACTACAAGAATGGCGAAGGGACCTCATCTTTAGCGTCAATTTAGGAAAATTGAGGATGAGTCCTGGTATGAAATTTTGAGGAAAAGTCTGGCTCCCGGCACCGGCGATCACCGGCGAAAACGGTTCAGAAACCACTTTTGGTCAAAATTGTACGGGATCGGCGCCGGGGCAGATCGCAAGAGTTGGGCACAGTCCAACTTTGCCGGCGGTCCCTTGCGATATTTTACCGTATGATTTTGTTACGACTGCACTGGTTCACATAATCGTAATGCGCCGGGAGAGGTTGCAAGAGGCCCACTCCCGGTGACTCCGGCGATATGTGAACCAACCCTTAGTGGTTGTGTGCGATACGAGCTTGCTTGTGGTATGCGTACATGTTTTTGTTTTGTTTTTAAATATGTTCACATACCCATCCCGAAAAGAATAATGAAAGGCACTGACAAATGCACGATTACTGCATGCACTGTACAGTGTCCAAGTGTGGGTACAGACTGAGTACAGTCAGGTCTCGCTCAACCGCACACATCCGTTTTCCACAAAAATATCCGGATAGGCGAGGGAACCGGATAACCGAACACTGTTTATGTTGGATGCATTGCGTCTGCTGTAAATCTGTAACCAGCTATTTTCTTCCGGATTGCGAGGTATCCGGATAAAAGAGGACCGGAAAAGCGAGGTCTGACTGTATCAGTACAGTTGTACAGCGCTGCTAGTGGGTGCACGCTGTGTCGAGTCGACCAGTACAGTACTGAAGCAGGTAGTCTGACAGCCGGGCTTGACCCAGCCATCCACTCAGTCTGACAGCCGCCGGGCTTGACCCAGCCATCCACTCAGTCTGACAGCCGAGCTTGACCCAACCATCCACTCAGTCTGTCAGCCGCCGGGCTTGACCCAGCCATGCACTCAGTCTGTCAGCCGCCGGGCTTGACCCAGCCATCCATTCAGTCTGACAGTCGGGCTAGAACCTGGGCTATGTTGCAGTTTACGATTTCTTCTCTCTTCCTCACTATGTCTGCTTACCTTCTTTGCCCCGTTCTCAGTTCATATTCGCCTTTCTGCTATTGATCCTCGAGGGTGGTGGCATTCATACGGATGCGGAAAACTCGACCTGTAGCCGAGTCTCACGCGAAATAATGGAAAGTGTATGAAGTGTTTGGAGAGATTCGCAGAGGTTTGTATTTCTATTTCGTGTAGCCAAGGATTTGGTGCGGCTATGTTCGGTGGAAGTTCAAAATTGTAAAATTATTTTAATAATATTATTCTTCAAAAAGAATAAACCCAAACAAACAAACTCAGTGTACGTACGTTGACAGTTTGGTGACAGAGTGCTCCACGTGTCGTCCGACTGACAAACAGCGTCGATGCTCCCGATGAATCCTGTATTGCACACCAACGTCACGACATCACCTCGCTGGTACGGAAGTCTGGAGACGCCCTTTCCGTACCCTCCTATGTGATAATTCCCATCAACGGGCAATTGCGGAGCTGGACATGTTCCTTCTGCAGCAAGAGCAGTATATAAGGTGAACTCCTGATATAACGAACACCATTATGCAGGAGAAACACAGTAAACTCCTGTTATAACAAACACCATTATGCAGGACAAATACAGTGAAGTCCTGTTGTAATGAACACAATTGTGCAGGAGAATTAGTTCTTTATACCAGAAGTTCGTTATAACAGAAATGCACTGACACTGTGGGTTCAAACTGGGACATGGACAACGGTTCGTTGTATCACGAAAAGGCGCCGGCGGATTATGCCGGCATACTTATTGGTGTAATTTGGTTGTTGAAAATTTGGAGCATAATTTGGCATCCTTTCGGAGGAACTGTAAAGTTCCGTGTATACGCCCACTCGAAATAACGCCTATGCCCGAAATAACGCCCATCGAATCGACATCCACACTCAAAGCCCGTGAGTTCGCCCATGCCTGAAAAACATCCAGGGTGATGCTGTACCTGTGTATGCGTATGTGTGCAAAATGTTATGCATGCTTATGAAAACGCAAGCGATGCAATATGCACCTTGTATAGGCCCAGTCCTGAAATAATGCCCATGCCCAAGTATACGCCCAGTTTTCAGACCCTTGTTCTGTATACTAGTACGCCCGGGGCTTATTTACGGAACTTTACGGTAGGAGCATAACTACATGATCGTACCACCGTTCTAGTATGTAGGCTACACAATTGTGTACAATGCACCTAACCAGTGATGGTGGTCTGCATGGCAAAGGGTTCGGAGGTCATGCAGATAGTGTTCCCAATGAAAAGCAGGGTAGGAATCACGGCAATACATTATTCAATCTCGTCTTCTTCAAAGTTCTTTCTCACACTGATACAGTACATGTAGCAGAAGATGCGAGTGAATCAGCCTTTATCAGGTATCCCGGGAAACGATAGTGACGGGTAGTCCGCAAAACTCCGCGTACATGTACGGGTAAATTACTAATGATGAAGGTTTACGAAGTCATGACCTCTGGATTTTAGCAGCCATGATTGTGCAGGCTATGGATATTGCTCTAATATTTAAATTATTATTTTTTAGATAGTTGATGTTCGGTCATGATGGAAGGAGCGGTGGAGCTACGTGAGAGACTAGCCGATTATTCGCAGGGTGAGGTTGACATCGGTTGGACGAGTATGACAATTACGAAGACAGTTGGACATGATAATTTTCAAAGGTAACTCGAACTAATTTGGCAATGAAAATATCTGTTTACAAAAGAAGTCAACTAGTGAATAGAAGAAGTGATGTTTTCTCTTTTCCATGCTAATCTCTAGCATGCATAGACACCAAGGTAGCATAGACAACAAGGTAGCATAGACACCAAGGTAGTATACACACCAAGGTAGCATAGACACCAAGGTATGGGGATACTCATGTTTTTGTTGTGCACTACTTACATGTATGGCCACTTGCAAGTACGAAAAAGGCACAATTTTCCGAGCTTTGAGGCTCCATAAGTACAACAAAGTGAATATGTATCCGGGCGTGCCAAAGCATAATGTGAGGATTTTGAGAGCATAATGCGAGAATCCATGAAAGCATAATTCCATGATTTCGCAAGCATAATCTGCCGAGCCTAATCACGAAATTCGCTATATGCGAGTTTGTTCTAAGTGTGGAGTCGACTGTATCCAGCCATAGGATGGAGGGAGGCCTGGGGGGGGGGGGGGGGGTTGGAACAATATCGCTCCACGTGATAATGATGCAGATATATTGGCCACTACCATAACTTCATAAGGGTCGTTGTAAAAAGGCTTTTTGCTACCTCTGAAACAAAACATCGATCGCGTCGGTGGGAGGGGAGAGGGGGGGGGGGGGGAGGGGGACCAAAACTGCATGTTGGCCAACACTGTAATAGTAGGGTGTTCGGACGATTTTGAAAGTTGCTCCGATCTCCTCGATTTTAGTCTCATTGGAAAGAGTAGGATAAACTAGCCGGGAAATATATAAGGTTTGTCTAAATCCGACCAGACGTTCAAGAGTTATGATCGTTCGAAGTGCGCTTGTTGGCACTTTTGCTGGAACAGTTCTAATGCAGGCCAGTGGCACAAAACCGGGAAATTCAAAACCAACTAGAACAAGGTGAAAATCAATTTCGTTCAGGGTCTTTCAAATTTTCACAGATGATAGCCAATAGAGAGCTTCCATCACTTGACCAATTTTTTTGGTATTCCATCGAGCCAAATTCAAATTACGCCCATAGCAACCACCATAGCAACGTGTACAAATTAGTCGAAATACATGTAGATGCGAAAGATGTAACCCTTCACAGGCTGAAGCTAATTGGAATACGGGTACTACAAAGACACATCACCAGGAGGAGATTACAGTTATCTACCCCATGTAGATGAAGCATCCAAGAAAATAACACGCACTCAGCCGAGACGGCACCCGCACCCGGGCATGTTGCGCCGCGGGACCGGATGCATGCAGCCAATTAACAGGTATGCTGCACCATTGCAACACAATGTAAGCTTCAGCCAGGCCAAGGCAGCACCAGTCCTGCTAATCATCAGCTTTAGAAGGACAACTTGTTCCCAGTCATATACGGCGCATGCAGCACTTCGGGGCAATTGGTGTCGCACGTCACATGTAATTCATTCATACGATTTGCACAATCAACAGATAGATCATTTATCGGATGATTGTGCAAGCGTAATTTGGATGTAAATTATAAAGTCGACAAATACACTGGCCCTACATTGCCCATGCCGCAGTATGTGGATGACAATGTACTCCAGACACGGTGCATACGGCATTGCATAGCTGCACTGCGTTAGCGCGCTGCAATTTTGCAAATCCTCAGAGTGTCAATTCTGTGCAGATTTTCAGCTGCATATTGAACGCAGTATTGGCAGGAAATCTGTTCTTGACCAATTTGTCTGCACAATGGCTTTCTCCACTCTCCAGATACAGCGACTAGAGGTTTATCTGATGTGGTAGCTCAGCGAAACTACAAATAAACAGCACTACAGCCAAGTCCATCAACTCCATGTACATGTACTCCGTACATTTGGTATCCTGGCGCAAATCGATCGCTCATAGAACAAGAAGACAGCATCGTACAGCCTCCAAATTTCACACACTGCGTAGTTTTTCGACGCTGAAGACGATGGAATAGTCGCCGGCGTTGCGACCGGCCCAGAACAGGCCGAAATCGATACCCTGAAGTTGCGCAGGGCGTAACATTGCTAAAATTCGTCGTGTGGAAACGGGACTTATGGTCTCAACAGCATAGACATCTCCTCTTTCGAACAAAGAAACAAACTCGTCCTGAGCTGCTAAAATTTTACCTTGCCAAGGCCTTAAGGCAAGAAGCACAGTGATGTACGATTGTGCCACGGACCCCGTACAAAACTGTTTCCACTCAAAATGCGCCTGGGTTCGAGGCACCGAACACCCTAGTAATAGCAGCAGAGATCAGGGTGACCAGGGTGACCAGGGTGACTGCCCCAACCAACCGCAATGACAATGACTCTGAGGAGACCGGTCCAGTGAGCAACAAAGCATTTTCAGAACGGCTCAAAGAATCAAAGCCAGAGTGCTCCAACGCCTAGGAACACAGCGACTCGCGGCTTTGCACGAGGACAGATAGCCTTGATGCTATCCGGATAACACGGCTCACGCTAGAGGGACTCAGGGAGCGCAATAGTACTAATCTTCATGATCGAGTGTCGATCTTTCTACCCCATAATTATTATAATTATTATAATTATTTTATTGAATATGCTTGGGGCTTGCTGTCACAAACTATTACCGGCGGTAATCGGAAACTTTCATGCACTCACCTGTCAGCGCGGCCAGGAAAGCAAGTAGAATCACCGCCGCTCGCCCCGCCATAGCGGCTTGCTTGCGTTATCGCGCTTCGCCCTGCTCCGCGTTCGACAACGAACACCACAGAGTTTCCTAAGCGACAGGTGTGCTGGAAATGTAACGACGATGATGTTGCAGCCGCATACAGTACGAGTATGCAGCGCGGAGAAGAAAAAGCACATCGACTAACCGGATTCATTTTCGCTTGGTCGAGTTTGTTGGCGATTGTTAGCCGTGTGTTGGTGACAACTGGCTTGTTTCCTCGACACACAAAACAACACATTGGACAGACGCGGCCTTCTTCCGCTAGTCCGCTCCCCTAGCTATGAAGTATGATCATGATGATAGTCATGATGAACTAGTTCAGTCTAGTCACGCAGGCGTAACACTAACAAGCAGACTGCAAATTCGTGGCACGGAGTTTGGAGGCAACAACGTTGTGAATGACCTACACAGTAGATCTACAGAACAGACTCATCAGTGATCACATCAGTCCAGGAAGTCGTGAAAAGCCACGACACAGCAGTATTCTGCACCTCGAACGATACAACTAACTAAAGAACCATGTCCCTGGCCTGGGCCACACTGACTCACGCTGGTGTCTACACACTACTCACTAGTCCACAGCTAGCTAGCAAGTAGCAGGGTGTCGTGGCTTTTCACGACTTCCTGGACTCCGTCGTCTTGTGTCAGCTGTGATCGTGAGGAAAGCTCTGCCAGGCACAAACGTACACGTGACGTACAGTAGATCTACGTACACAGATACAGTCAGTAGAGAGCCTGAGAGGTTCTCCATGGCACGTAGTTTGTTCGCCCGTAAACATGGTAAAAGAGGCTCATGGTTGACTTCTACTGCCAGAAGGCGTCTTCATATAAGGAGGCAGATATGCCTGTTTGTTGCACGACTTTAAATAAATCCAACCAACCAACCAACCAACCAACCAACTAAAAAATTACTTACTTCATTCTCCCGAGTAAAAGAGGCTTTACATTTTTTTAAAGAAAAAAAAGAAAAGTGCGTGGTGGTGGAAACGGAGCGCACATGTATCGTCGTCATCTTAACGGTATCACCATGATCACCACTTTTTGTTTAGTGAACTCAGCGGGGAGTCGTCAGTTTGGCCGTTACTTTATCGCCATCAATCATGCCATCATAATAATTATTGGGCACCATTGCCCGTTTGGTCTGCGATACAAAATAAAATTTCAGCAACAACAACAACAGTCCTGTACCAGTGTTTTGTCTTTTGACGACTCCCTATTGATGAGTCCCTATTATGCAAGAGTACACCCCACGGTCGGGGTTATGTACGTATCTACATTGTAGTATTGACTGAGTCACGTGACGAGGTCAATATAGAAAATAAAAGCCGAGTAAAAGACCGAGGCGAAGCGGAGGTCTTTTACGAGGTTTTTTCCTATACTGACCAAGTACGAGGTTATTGTTTGTTTCTTGTTGTTGTTGTGCTCTTTATAGTCGTTCAACCGAACAGGCAATGGTGCCTTCTCTCCAGGAGACGACTTTGAAGAGGAGAGGGCAGAACGAGAATGGGGAGGGGAGAAAAAACAGGCACGGAAGGGAGATAGAATGGAGAGGATAATGTAGTATAGATTCAGAAGCAGGAGTAAGATCCAGATCTTTGACACAGTACAAAAAAGCGGTTTAAGCAACTGGGAGAATAAGGAGGTCTTGCGAGCGCAATGCATCACGCAACCGCTTCTTCTCTCCAATGAATCGAAGTTCGGCCGAGAGACTTTTCCACAATACGCTTCCCACAAACTGGATTGACGATCGGCTATAAGGGCCTCTTAGGAAGGGTATTTGCAGGAGATGGAAGGAATGACCACGAGTTATGCGGCGGTGAGGCAGGCATGCAGCATTAATTAGAATAAAGAAATTGTCAAAAAGGGGACTTGTAGCAGACTGGATACAGCGATGGACGAATACTAATAGGTTTAGCCTATAATTATATGTGGACAAGAGGAAGGATGCGTGTCTGTGCAAGCAAAGGAGCGGTAGGTGCTTGGTGCCAGCAAAATAGACCGGACCCCTGCGTTGGCCATACGCTCCAGACGACTGAGTGCATGCTGAGAAGGACCTGGGTAGAAGGCATTGCTAGCATAGCAGAGTGTGGACTGAATCATGCCAATGACGAATGTACCAAGTAAGGTGAACATTCACTGTCAAGCCATGTCCATGCGGCCATAACTTAGCAATTACTGGTCGGGCTTACTGTGCGAGGTGATCGACATGTACATCCCAAGACATGTTGTCTTGTCATCCCCGTGAACTCCAAGGTAGTACTTCACACAATGTACAAATAAGAACGTCCTGACCAGTGACCACACTGTACTGGATGGTGGGTGTCTTGCTGACCACGGGGCTTTATGAACATAACTCTCTTGTATCGTGTCTTCATGGTGTTTATAAGTGGACCTAAATCACCCAACCTGAGGCAGAAACACTAGAAGAAGGCGTTACTGCCATAGACGATGGCAGGGATGACAACAGCCTGGACGAAGAGACGCTGTGCAGATCGGGACAGGGAGCGACGGGCTCGCCACAGCGCACCAATCTTACAGGCCGTCTTGCTGACAATTCGGTCGACTTGAGCGTCCCAGTGAAGATTACTATCAAGTACAACACCGATGTACATCCGGTTGATCAGGCCATGGCCGGACCAACTGTTAGGCTACCAACATATGTTTATAAGGAGGTCATGTGTATACCCTTGATACCACGCACAACGTATGAAAGGGTAGGGTATGGCCGAACCAATCACAAACTGCGTCTGCCGGTCCTGATATACCATGGTCGGATTGAGTGCCTATTCTATTGATCAAAACGGGTATTCTATGAGTCGGTGACATACGTGCACAATCTACACGGAACTGTACGACCGTACAGCCGCTGGTGGTGCCCAGCTATAGTCGGTTCAGCTAGCTCTCTCACCAGTTCCTATAATTATCACATCCCGGGGGTGAGCTTTTCTGGGTCCTGAGCTATCCTGCTTTGTGGCTTCCTGTGGGTGTCACTGAGCAGCTGTGTTCTGTACTGGACAAATCGGTCGAACTACAGCAGTACACCACCCAACTCACATAATTATGACTTGGAAGGCGAGTAAAGGGGCGGATAGCAGTAAGGAAGCAGGGTGAAAATACCAAACTGTCGGAGGTGTGTCTCACATCGTAATTGACCTGTATTCCCACGACAGGACAGCCGTAGCCAATAAGAGACTCTATTATTATCTTTTCAAGGATTCTCCAGAGGCAAACGGATGCCTATCAAAGGGAGTCTCCTGGGGAGGGAAAGGAAGTGAAGGTGGTTGTTATGAGAGAGGGAGGAAAGGACATGACAAGGTGAAAAAATAGAAAAATACTTCGGGGGTTTGAAGTAATGCAAACAGGAACAGCAGAAGCTACTTGCAAAAATTCGCTATACATGTACCTTGCCGTGACAGAATACTTGTGGTGCAGATATAGTGTCTATGCACAGCAACAGTAAATCGGCTAGCGGATGTCAGACAGCGGATTTCTTCTGGCAGCTTATTCCAGGCTCTAGAAACAATGCTCTAGCAAGCCAGCGGCAGTGGGCGAGATGTGCAGTATGCACTCGTACATACTACCGGCAGTGCATTGCAGTACAGCTGTACATCTGTAGTACTTATTCGTTCGGGAGGTGTTGTTGAGCAGACCTGTTCTTTCCAAATCAGTATGAGACTAGTTTTCATAAATACATGTACGGTGAATTCTCCATCTCTGAACAGCTAGCCGATTCGATCTTGTTAGATATCGGCAACGGAGCTCAGAGTTACTGAACGGCAAAGCATTTTATCAAGCGGCTCAAAAGCACTGTCAAAGTCAGAGCGCTCAGACTGCGAACAACACAGGGAGCTTTGCACACACTCTCACGGCTTGGCAAATCAATAGTGGCCCTGATCAGGCATGCAATGAATGGTGTGCAAACTAGCAAAGGAGCAGTTATAAAAATACAATGCTACACCACGTACTATGTGTGAAGGTGCATGCAGGAAGCATCATTACTCCTGCCCAATTCCATTTCTGTACTTGTGTACACTATACATGTACATGTGTACCCAGCAGGTCGGTGGCTTTTTTTCCTGTCAACTTGCAGCTGCCGGCAAAAGCAAGTCAGGGCATGTTCGATTGGTAGGATCGGGATCCCGATCCACCGGATCCACTGGATTCGCACCCTTTCGATTGGTCGGATCCGGATCCGGATCCTTCGGATTTGGATCCGGTCAACCCTCCTCGGGGAGCAGGGTTGACCGGATCCAACGGATCCAAATGTGATCTTTGTGCGTATATGGAGGGTAAAAATCATTTTTGTACACATTGTGGTACGCACACGTGGATGGAGATAGAGCTTGTTGACTTTTTGTACGACGCACGGGATGAGTACGACGTTCACCCTTTTGGGTGCCTTGTGAGAGCCATTTTCAACATGGCAACAGTCAAGGTCCAAAATAAAGTGTTCAGTTGAATCTGAAGGATCCGAGGGATCTGAGATCTGGATCCCGATCCCGATCCTTACCAATCGAACATGCCCTCAGGCACGCTGAAATTGTGTGATAGCGAACAGTGCATTAAAGTGGTCAGCACCAAGAAACGAAAGACTAAACATGCCTGGCCAGGACGCAAATGGGGACTACTACCGATAGGAACACGTGTGGAAGAGAATATTGCTGCTGCTGTCAATGCATTGCTTGACTTCAACCTGCTCACAGCGGCAACTGAGAGCAGTATCACCTGGTCCGCATTTGGAAGCCAGACCCGGACATCCAGCACTAGTTACGTATGATGTGATCTCTACTTGTACACAAGAAACGTGGCAATGCTTCACGGACACTAACACTAACACTGCAATGCAATGTAAATGCATGTACTTCCAAGTACAGTATTTCGAAGTGCATGCCAACAATTCCAAAGCATCCTCATCAGTTCCATAGCAGCAGTCTTAGCTACCACATGAAAAAAAGAAAGTGAAAATTGAAATCTTTACTTCAGCTTCACCCAAACCAGAATCACCAATCAGTTGTCTGAGGATTGCCTTAGCTTTGCTATGCGCATGAAACGCAGCGTTACAACAATGACCTAGTCGGCTGTCTCTGTTCTCTTCTGCCTTTGTGGTAATGCTCCATCCTTGTGGTGTTGAGCACTCTAGGCAATCTGGGAACTCTCGCTATTGTAAATCACCAATGCATATTGATGGGGTTCATCAGATAATTCCTATAATGTGCTAAGCCACACACTCGTAGCCCGTATCTTCTTCAGCGTTTGATCTGTTTGCAGAGCCGTATGCCTCGTTGTCCGTCAAGGTCGGCATCTGCACGACTTGTTGTTCCGTTTGGCTTCCTTCACAGTGCTGCTTGCGCACCGTCTTCCTCCATTGCCGACACACCCATAGCAACGGGACGGCCATGATCACTATGCCGCTAACTAGCCCCAGCAGGATTGAAGTGTGAACAGATAAGCTGGCTTCAGTGCTATTGGAGCATCCACTTGCTGGTGTGTGTGCGCGCGCTGGAGCCCAAAAATATGCATGCACGGATCCATGACACGCACACGCACATACACGCACATACACGTGCACACATTCACACACACACACACACACACACACACACACACACACACACACACACACACACACACACACATACATACACACACACACACAGCAAACATGTATTGCATACTGCAACTGGTAGAATATAACCTGAACGTATTTGCATCATGCAATGCCGAGATAATGCCGAGATAATCTGTCCAACTTAGTGCTGACGCCTATCCAGAAATATGTCGCTACCTGGGGCGAAGTCCATGGCCTGATCAACCGGACGTACATCGGTGTTGTACTTGATAGTAAGCTTTACTGGGACGCTCAAGTCGACCGAATTGTGAGCAAGACGGCCTGTAAGGTTGGTGCGCTGTGGCGAGCCCGTCGCTCCCTGTACCGATCTGCACAGCGTCTCTTCGTCCAGGCTGTTGTCATCGCTGCCATCATCTATGGCAGTAACGCATTCTCCTAGTGTTTCTGCCTGGTTGGGTGATCTATGACTTGGAAGGCGAGTAAAGGGGTGGCCAGGATAGGTTGGGGGGGGGGGGGGGGGGCGGCGGAAAGCAGTAAGGAAGCAGGGTGAAAATACCAAACTGTCGGAGGTGTGTCTCACATCGTAATTGACCTGTATTCCCACGACAGGACAGCCGTAGCCAATAACAGACTCTTTTATTATCTTTTAAAGGATTCTCCAGAGGCAAGTTACTAAGTTACTTATAATTGTAGTGCTGACGCCTATCCAGAAGTATGTCGCTACCTGGGCGAAAAGTGTTTTTGTGACTCAGCTTCCACATCGATGAAATCGACTGACTGAAAAATCTATACAGGTCGTCCCTCGTTAATAAAATCTCTGGGACTTCAAATCTCTGGGACTTGCAAATGTTATGTATTTTAACTTGGTTGTGTACCAGAATTTTTCACTTTTTTCTACTTTTCTCAGTGTTTCTTCCTACCGTGACTTAAGGGCGAGATATTCTTGATTCCCTCGATATAACATAAAAATTATGTTATATCGGTCCCAGTCAGCAAAGATTCTACAGTTTACATGATGCATGCCCAGCCGTGCCTGTGCAACGGCACTCGAAAAATAAAACAGAGCTTTGTCGGTTTGTGATGTGCGCTCTGACTTCTGAGATAATTGCGCCCACAAGAAGAAACAGAAACGCGCTGTGCCTCCACTGCAAGACCAAAAGACCAACATATTATGTACTATTGAGTATTGAGATAGGTGGTATGAGGATACGGAGGAAATATTATGTACTAACGAAGTATGTACTAAGCGACAAAATTTGTATGGAAATGATCAAGTTTCGTCCGGGATTTGAGATTTTTTTATGTACTAGCGGGGTTTAGGTGCTAACCGGACTCGTATTTACCGTAGGGGATGAGCTGTAGGCGTTACATACCAGTATTCGTTGTTGTTGAAGTGGGCCGTGATGTGGGCAATGACGGCACCGATGATGCCACCGATGATGTAACAGGTGATGTTGGCAATGATGTCAACGGTGATGTGGGCAGTGCCGTCGTGGGTGATGTGGGCAGTGCCGTCGTGGGTGATGGGGGCAGTGACGTCACATGTGACGTGGGCAATGGCGTCACAGGTGACATCATCAGTGACGTCATAGGTGATGCCAACGATGATTAGGCACCGGGCAAATATGCTCGAAAAATCACCCATCATGCTTTTTCGCAACTCTTACAATACAGCCGATTATGCCTGAAACCATGCCGATAATAGGCCTTTCCCAAATCGGCTGGCCGAAAAATTCGCCGAAAAGTAGCCTTTTCAGAAAAACGCCGATCTTTTGGCCGAATTCGGAGATTTTACCAAGAAATCGCCGAATATACATGTTTTGCAGGGTCGTGGGCAACTGGGCATGACCTCTCGTGCGCGCCTGCGTCACGGCCCGTGGGCATTTCCCAAATCGGCCGGCTGAAACATTGGCTGAAAATAGTGGTTTTGAAGAAATCACCAATCTTTTAGTCGAATATGCAATTTCGCACTGAATTCGCCGAAAATTGATGTTTTAGTGCCTCAATAGCATTCAAATACAATTTCTGTAGCCATTATCTGCGAAAGGTGGCTGTGACTTTAGAGCCGAATTTCCACTTTTTACAGAAATTTTCAGCCGATTCTGGCGATTTTTTCAGCCGATCGAAAAGCCGAATAGGCCAAAATAAATGGCCGATTTGGGAAAGGCCTAGCCGAAAATGCTCATTAATTTAAGCTTGAAATTCAGTTTTTTCTTCATACCCCAACACATGTGCGTGAATTTACTCCCCCGCCAGTGGACTGACTGGCCAAGGAAATCAAGAATATGCGGGTCAGATACCGTACGCTACAGATCGATATTACTATAATCTAAAAAATACGTCTAAAAAGAAGAAAAAGAGACTTTTTGAAAAAGAATTTCCTCGTCCCGCCGATTATTCCCGCGAAATCACCAATAATGCTGATGTGGTTTTGCACCCTAAAATGCTTGATTTGGTGCAGACATCTCCCGGGTCCCTAACGATGATGCCACCGATGATGTAGCTGTTAGGGTTCCTCTAGGGATTTTGACATTCGCTGTCGCCGATGAAGAGGGAGGTACATTACCGTGGCTGGAGGAAGGGCTGGGGAAGGGCTGGGGAAGGGCTGGAGGAAGGGCTGGGCAATGACGTAGTGCCCTGTTCTAGGAACAAAGTCATATTCAAAATTGACAAAATTTTAGCAGGTTTTGCTTTCCAGCTTGTAACATGGAAACTGATTTTATAAAACTCTCGCACAACATGTTAACTTGAAAACTCTGTTGCCAATGAGTATCCATTGATATCACCAGTAAATGATGATAGTCCGCCTCTGACTTACGTTGACATGTGGGTTTAGGCGGAGACCATGTCCCGTTGGCCAAACACCGTACTGTTAGAAAACCACGTGGATGACCCACCATGAAATAGCCTTCATTACAATGATAAGCTACTGTGTCTTGGTATCTCAGACCCGTGTAACTGTAAGCACCATTGGCAAGGTGACTTGGGCGTGGACAACTGATACCTGGGAATCGTTCAATGTCATGGACACACATAAACACACTCACACACACACACACACACACACACACACACACACACACACACACACACACACACACACACACACACACACACACACACACACACAAACACACACATGCGCACGCACATGCACGCATGCACGCACGCAAACACACACACATACACACATACCACACACACACACTACTACTACTACTACTACTACTACTACTACTTTCTTAAAGCATGACTGCCCCGTAGGGCCACGTCACTCCCTTGTGACAGGGAGCGAGAGTCAGGGTAAGAGAGGCAATGCTGGCTGGCGAGCCACATGCCGGTTGAGACACACACACACACACACACCACACACACACCACACACACCACATACACACACACACACACACACATACACACACACACACGCACACACCAGCACATACACACACACACACACACACACACACACAGCAAACATGTATTGCATACTGCAACTGGTAAAATATAACCTGAACGTATTTGCATCATGCAATGCCGAGATAATGCCGAGATAATCTGTCCAACGTAGTACTGACGCCTATCCAGAAATATGTCGCTACCTGGGCGAAAAGTGTTTTTGTGACTCAGCTTCCACATCGATGAAATCGACTGACTGAAAAATCTATACAGGTTGTCCCTCGTTAATAAAATCTCTGGGACTTGCAAAATGTTATGTATTTTAACTTGGTTGTGTACCAGAATTTTTCATTTTTTCTACTGTTCTCGGTGTTTCTTCCTACCGTGACTTAGGAGCGAGATATTCTTGATTCCCTCGATATAACATAAAAATTATGTTATAAGAGTCACAGTCAGCAAAGATTCTACAGTTTACATGATACATGTCCAGCCGCTCCTGTATACAGTCACTCGAAAAATAAAACAGAGCTTTGTCGGTTTGTGATGTGCGCGCTGACTTCTGAGATAATTGCGCCCACAAGAAGAAACTGAAACACGCCGTGCCTCCACTGGAAGGCCAAAAGACCAACAAATTATGTACTATTGAGTACAGAGGCAATTGCTTTGGTTCTGCAGTATTGAGGTAGGTGGTATGCGGATACGGAGGAAATGTTATGTACTAACGAAGTATATACCAAGCGACAAAATTTGTATGGAAATGATCACGTTTCGTCCGGGACTTGAGATTTTTTTATGTACTAGCGGGGTTTAGGTGCTAACCGGACTCGTATTAACCGTAGGGGATGAGCTGTAGTCGTTACATACCAGTGTTCGTCGTTGTTGAAGTGGCCCGTGATGTGGGCAATGACGGCACCGATGATGCCACCGATGATGTAACAGGTGATGTTGGCAATGATGTCAGCGGTGATGTGGGCAGTGCCGTCGTGGGTGATGTGATGTGGGCAGTGACGTCACATGTGACGTGGGCAATGGCGTCACAGGTGATATCATCAGTGACGTCATAGGTGATGCCAACGATGATTAGGCACCGGGCAAATATGCTCGAAAAATCATCCATCATGCTTTCTCGTAATTCTTACAATACAGCCAATTATGCCTGAAACCATGGCGATAATAGGCCTTTCCCAAATCGGCTGGCCGAAAAATTTGCCGAAAAGTAGCCTTTTCAGAAAATCGCCGATCTTTTGGCCGAATTCGGAGATTTTACCAAGAAATCGCCGAATACAGGTCCTCCCTCGTTAGTAGATAATCTCTGGGCCATTGAAAAAGTTATCTTATAGCGAGACTTATCTTGTAGCAGGACTTGCAGCTAAAGGTGAAATAGGCACTACTTCGTACTTACCGGGGCTACTCTCGATACAACATAAATTATCGATGCTTCAACTCGTTATAAGATAATTGAAAATCTCCAACTCTTCCTTGGATGCAAAGGATCGTCCATATTCACGAATACATAGATATAATACGTTTCGTCTTTCTGCTTTATCCTACGTGCGTTGGCCTTGGTCCTGCATGGTCAATATTATCTTATACTGAGGGTTTGGCACTCCAGGGACCTGGGCAAAGGGTCGTTATAACGAATTTTATGTACTAACGAATTAGGTTGTAACCGGACCTGTAAACAGTTGTATAGACCACGTTTCACCAGGGGATTTCAAATTTCTATTTACTAACGGGGTTTATGTACTAACCAGACTCGTTATAATGAGGGAGGACCTGTATACATGTTTTGCAGGGTCGTGGGCAACTGGGCATGACCGCTCGTGCACGCCTGCGTCACGGCCCGTGGGCATTTACCAAACCGGCCGGCCGAAACATTGGCCGAAAATTGTGGTTTGGAAGAAATCATCGATCTTTTAGCCGAATACGCAATTTTCGCACGGAATTCGCCGAAAATTGATGTTTTAGTGCCTCAATAGCATGCAAATACAATTTCTGTAGCCATTATCTGCGAAAGGTGGCTGCGACTTTAGAGCCGAATTTCTACCTTTTACAGAAATTTTCAGCCGATTCTGGCGATTTTTTCAGCCGATCGAAAAGCCGAATAGGCCAAAATAAATGGCCGATTTGGGAAAGGCCTAGGGCATGATCGATTGGGCGAATCCCGAGCAAGTGTGCTCCGAGTGAGCTTGATCGTTTGGTCGAATCCGATCGAATCCGGAGTGGGTGTACTTGGAGTGGAATCCGACCACACCGGCCCCCACACCGGGAGTGGCTGGAGTGGAAATGGACTTTGCCGTTTTTGGACAGCTTTCACAGAATCTTTGAACGATATGCGTACATTTTGCCTACTACACCCTTGTTTTGTTCGATTGGGCCAGCGTTGCTCAGACCACACCGCCTGCTCGCACTCAATCCAGATTCGCCAATCAATGACACCCCTAGCTGATAATTCCCGAAAATGCTCATTAAAGGGGAAGTTATTTAAGGCAAAAATTAAAATTTCACCAGTTGTAGTCTTCGGGGTGCTGAGTCGAATGGTCTTGGTCCGAGAAAGCCGAGACGCTCCCTTCCTACTTGAATCCCAATCGAACTCGCGCACTTCCACCGAAACTGGGTGACTGCGCCCTACTAGATGGGGATTTGTATGCAAAATGTCACTAAAAGCGCCATTTCGTTCTTATAAAAGCACGGATGACCGCGATTGGCCCATATGTTGTAGTCTTTTGGACGCTGAGTCGACTGGTTTTGGTCCGAAAAGGCTGCGATGCAGCGTTCCTCCTATATTCCCAATCGAACATGGTTGAACAAGCGGTCACGTGCTCCTGCGTACACCAGTCACCTGGTCACCGTGCCTGCAGGGTACAACTTACTAGCCTGTTTGACTTTTTTTGGGTGCAGTCATGTCACTCGAGTTGAACCTTGGTGTGAAAGTTGTCGCCTGCTGGCGTGGTGACCAGGTGATTTGGGCACCCAGGAGCACGTGACCACTTGTTCAACCATGTTCGATTGGGAATAAAGGAGGAACGCTGCATCGCAGCCTTTTCGGACCAAAACCAGTCGACTCAGCGTCCAAAAGACTACAACATATGGGCCAATCGCGGTCATCCGTGCTTTTATAAGAACGAAATGGCGCTTTTAGTGACATTTTGCATACAAATCCCCATCTAGTAGGGCGCAGTCACCTAGTTTCGGTGGAAGTGCGCGAGTTCGATTGGGATTCAAGTAGGAAGGGAGCGTCTCAGCTTTCTCGGACCAAGACCATTCGACTCAGCACCCCGAAGACTACAACTGGTGAAATTTTAATTTTTGCCTTAACTTCCCCTTTAATTTAAGCTTGAAATTCAGTTTTTTCTTCGTACCCCAACACATGTGCGTGAATTTGAAATACGCTACATTACTCCCCCGCCAGTGGACTGACTGGCCAAGGAAATCAAGAATATGCGGGTCAGATACCGTACGCTACAGATCTATATTTATATACCATAATCTAAAAAATACGTCTAAAAATACGTCTAAAAAGACTTTTTGAAAAAGAATTTCCTCGTCCCGCCGATTATTTCCGCGAAATCACCAATAATGCTGATGTGGTTTTTGCACCCTAAAATGCTTGATGTAGTGCCGGCATATTTGCCGGGTCCCTAACGATGATGCCACCGATGATGTAGCTGTTAGGGTTCCTCCAGGGATTTTGACATTCGCTGTCGCCGATGAAGAGGGAGGTAGATTACCGTTGCTGGAGGAAGGGCTGGGGAAGGGCTGGGGAAGGGCTGGGGAAGGGCTGGGCAATGAGAGGGGGTACATTACCGTGGCTGGAGGAAGGGCTGGGGAAGGGCTGGGGAAGGGCTGGGGAAGGGCTGGAGGAAGGGCTGAGCAATGACGTAGTGCGCTCAGTGTTCTAGGAACAAAGTCATATTCAAAATTGACAAAATTTTAGCATGTTTTGCTTTCCAGCCTGTCGCATGGCTACTGATTTTAGAAAACTCTCGCACAACATGTTAACTTGAAAACTCTGTTGCCAATGAGCATCCATTGATACCACCAGTAAATGATGATAGTCCGCCTCTGACTTACGTTGACATGTGGGTTTAGGCGGAGACCATGTCCCGTTGGCCAAACACCGTACTGTTAGAAAACCACGTGGATGACCCACAATGAAATAGCCTTCATTACAGTGATAAACTACTGTGTCTTGATACCTCAGACCCGTGTGACTGTAACCACCATTGGCAAGGTGACTTGGGCGTGGACAACTGATACCTGGGAATCGTTCAATGTCATGGACACACATACACAGACACACACACACACACACACACACACACACACACACACACACACACACACACACACGTGCATGCACGCACGCAAACACACACACATACACACACATACCACACACACACACTACTACTACTACTACTACTACTACTACTACTACTACTACTACTACTACTTGTATAGCATGACTGCACCATAGGGCCACGTCACTCCCTTGTGACAGGGAGCCAGAGTCAGGGTAAGAGAGTCAATGCTGGCGAGCCACATGCCGGTTGAGACACACACACACACACACACACACACACACACACACACCACACACACACCACACACACACCACACACACACACACACACACACACACACACACACGGCACACACACACACACACACACACCATACACCACCCCCCCCCCCCCCACCCCACACACACACATATACACACTTACAAACACACACACGTACACACACATACACAAACATACAGACGTACATACATACGCACACATCCATACACACGGACACACACACACACACACATTCCCACACATACACACACACACACACACACATCCATGCATGCACACACATGTACACACACATACAGACACACACACACCAATTTCCGCAACATCACTCCTGAGGCATTACATTGGTTGAAACATAGATCCACGTGTTCCGCGGGAAAAATTAGGACAGTGGAAGCATTGGATGTCATTCCTATCAAGGGAAATGAGTCCACGAAGACAAAGAGAGATGGGAATCATGCATGCCACTGAGCTAGGTTGAGGAGAACACTATATTATTATTAGAGAGGTTGCGCACAACGAAAATTCGTAGCGCGGTAACGAATACTATGATTTTTAACGAAAAAAGCTAACGAATATTCGTAAACCGTGAGGTTGCGCACAACGCGTGAACGTTTTCGTAGTGGGTCGACGCGGCAGCCGCGCGGGTACGAAGAGTCAAGACAGGGAGTTGTAAAATATCAGTATTTTAGTACTCCAGGTAACGAAAAATATTTTCGTAGATTTGCTCTGTTTCGGTCACGTTTGGACGGATCTTCGGAGCAACTTTCGTTACTCGAACCCGGACGGTCGAAATCTAACGAATTTTCGTTGTGCGCAATCTCTCTATTATATATACTGCGTACTTTAAAAAAAAAAGTAAATTATCGTATCCGTTCCCGAAGGAAAAATTAAATCCCGTCAGCGCTCTTGACCACCCACCCTCTTTTTGCTTGAGGACGGATTTTTTAATTTTTTGAAAGTTACGGACGACCCCTTACCAGGTTTCGCTTTCTAGCTTGTCACATGGAGACTCAGAGAAGAGTTCAGTCAGAAGACGCTCGTGCTGAACGCAATCAAACACTTTCGACATGCCTGCGAACACAACTCGAGTGTACTCTCGTCGAGATGTGGCTAGAGACCAACTGTTGACTGCGAGGACAAGTGCATCCTCTGTGGAGTGTTGTTTACGATAGGCAAATTGGCTGGTGGGTAGAAGCTGTGCTGATTCGAGATAGGTGGTGAGCTGTTTCTTTACAAATGCCTCCAGATTACGGGAGTTTTATAGTGATTGTGTGCGATACGAGCTTGCTTGTGGTATGCTGCACGATCACTGCATGCCTGGACAGTGTGCAAGTGTGGGGTACAGACTGAGTATCAGTACAGTTGCACAACGCCACTAGTCTAGTGGGTGCACCGGTGCTGTGTCGAGCTGACCAGTACAGTACTGAAGCAGGTAGTCTGGCATCCATGCTTGACCCAGCCATCCACCATTCAGTCTGGCAACCGGGCTTGACCCAGACATCCATTCAGTCTGGCTGCCGGGCTTGACCCAGCCATCCATTCAGTCGGGCAGCCGGGCTTGACCCAGCCATCCATTAAGATTGCTGACCGGTTTCTGTCAGTTGCCGAGCTTTCCTAGAACCTGGGCTATGTCGCAGTTTGTGATTTATTCTCTTTTCCTCGGTATGTCTCCTCTCCTTCTTTGCCCCCTTCTCAGGTCATGATCGACATTACTGATGTTATTGATCCTTGAGGGTGATGGCGTTCCTACGGATACGAGACTTTACTGATGTTATTGATTCTTGAGGGTGATGACGTTCCTACGGACACGGTAAACTCGACCTGTAGCCGAGTCCCATGCGAACCGTGATTCTATTCTATTACACGCTATTGGGCCCAGCTCCCATTTAAATTTTTGTTTTTTTGTTTTTTTTGTGTGTGTGTGTGTGTGTGTGTGTGTGTGTGTGTGTGTGTGTGTGTGTGTGTGTGTGTGTGTGTGTGTGTGTGTGTGTGTGTGTGTGTGTGTAGCCAAGGACTTGGGTGGCTGTGTGCGGTGGAAGTTCAAAATCTTGAAGAATAAACACAAACAAACTCAGTGTACGTACGTTGACAGTTTGCTGACAGAGAGCTCCACGTGTCGTCCGACTGGCACACGGCGATTATGCTCCCGGTGAATCCTGCATTGCACACCAACGTCAGGACATTACCCTGCTGGTACGGAAGTTTGGAGACAACCTTTCCGTGTCCTTCAATGTGATAATTCCCGCTTACGGGCAATTCCGGAGCGAGACATGCTCCATCTATGAGTCACAACAAGAACAGGAGATGTCAAGCTGTAAGAGGGGGAGTTGGAACAATATCGCTCCATGTGATAATGGCGTACAGTCAACTTCGCCAATAACGACTGCGGATATAACGACAATTCGCGAATAACGACAGAATTTCCATGCCCAGAGCAAAGTCCCATCCAATTATAATACATATAATGAGACTTCGGGTATAACGACACTTCGTGAATAATGACACTTTTCCGATGCCCCGCCGAGTGTCGTTATATGCGAAGTTGACTGTAGATCTATTAGCCACTACCATAATAGTGGGTCGCAAAGGCTCTTTTGCTACCCCTGAAACAAACATCATTCGTGTCGGGGGTGGGTGGGGTGGGTGGGGGGTGGGGTGGGTGGGGTGCAGTGGGTGCGGTGGGTGGGGAAGTCGACCAACACTGTACCTACTCCTGAAACAAACATCAGTCGTGTCGGGGGGAGGGGGAGGGGGGAGGGGGAGGGGGAGGGGGAGGGGGGAGGGGGGAGGGGGAGGGGGGGAGGGGGAGGGGGGGAGGGGGGGGAAGTCGACTGACACTGTACATGCATACGATCATTTGCGTCATCGAGCATGACAAGCTATGCTCAGTCCAGGGGGCGGGGCGGGGGGAGTACCAAATGAATGATGTTCGTAACAGTTCGTTTCAGGAACAAAAAAGCTCTGCAAACAACCCCTAAGATAAAAGTGTGCTTTGTACTAACAAGGGAGTGTACACTGTGACAGTGTGCAATATTTCTAGCTCAGAATGAATTCACCTGGACTACAGTCAAGGACGACATGCAGTCGGATGTCAAGGTCTACCAAGCTGCTGTGCTGTTCGGGCAGCCAGTCCAGACCCACAACGATATCTCAGCTTCACCTTGCTGGACCCATGCCATGGCCCACCCATCGACTATAGGCAAACCAGTGCAGGGTTTCTCAGTCACCCCCCCCCCCTTTTCCGGGGGGAGGGGAGGGGCATATGTGCCTCCTCCCCCCCTGGAAAAGGGAGGTACGCACGCCATCTGTTTTCATAGCATTCTTGAAGCATTGTTTTGGTAGATTGCCACACTTGCTGCTCTCACTGCTACCGTATTATCTCTAATATAAGCACAGTCTCCAATAATAGCACGTCTCCAATAATAGAACACCTCGGGCGGCATTCAAAAAATGCAGTGCTCAGTCTCCATTATAAGCACACTGTGTAAATTCATTATCTGTACCGGCGAAAAAAAACCCTGAAATGTGTTCAGTGTCTGCTCTAGGATTGTAGGACAGCCAGGTACACGTGTACCTGGCGCAACCATTTCAACCGGGTTGGAGCCGGGTACACATGTACCTGGCGCTGTCTCACCAGCCGAGTCACATGCTTTAACTGGTTGGTTGGTTTATTTTAATTCGGACAATAAACGGGAACTAGGCCCAATGATATAAAGGCGAATGGCTAAGCCGCATTTAGAAAAAGAAAGGACAGGAATTAGAAAATTACGAAAGAAGAAGAAGTATCTGACACATACAAGCCATGTAGTTAGTCCTTTCAAAGTTCGAAAGTGTAAAGTACCAACCGGGTCACAGGTGACCCGGTACTATCTTTTCAACCGGGTGCAAGCGCCGCCCAACCGGGTGGATTACCCGGCTCACCCGGCGCTGGAGCAGACACTGGTGTTTGTCTGACATGAATTTGGCATGGCAACAAGCCTCTGAAATGAGGTTGAAATAATAATGGAACAGTCTCCAATAAAGGAACGTCTCCATTAATAGCACGGGGCCGAGGTACATGTATATGTACATTGAAAAAATAAAGGACCGTGCTTATATTAGAGATAATACGGTATGCTGATTCAGTGATGAGTGTAATGGTAGTACTGTATTAGAACAAATACATGTATAGACGAATGTCACTTATCCGGTCACCAGTTATCCGAGCACGTCGGCTATCCGACAAGCCCGGGAGTGGTAATTTTATGACTCTCAACAGTAAAATTCTTTTAAAAACTTATTTTTTGTTGTTGTATACTATACGGTGTAATATGAAGTAGGTGTGGTCAAGTATGCTAACATGTATGTGTACATGGAGCAATTCATGAATATGCATGATACATGTACATGTACACTGTATATTTGGGTATTGTGTACATAAATCAGTGAAATCCAGCCATATACATACATGTATATGCACATAAAAAATGACATCAGTTATCCAACATATCCAGTTATCCAACATGCCTGATTCCCGAAGTGGTCGGATAAGTGACATTCGACCGTACATGTATATTCGACGAACCCAACCATAATGGAATCTCCAGAATCTAGAAAAACCAAGGTTGAGAAGGATATTCCTCATACTCATACTCATACTCATAGCTACAACAGTCAACATGTACATGACTGTACATGTACAGCGCTGGCAACTGAAATCCGACCCCCCTGAGCGGTGGGTTCACATTGTTTGCGATGTGAGCGCACCGCTCAGGGGGTCGGATTTCAGTTGCCAGCACTGCACATGTACATGTACATGTACATGTAGTGTTGAGTGCACAAGAAAGGAGCTAACGAACACTGTCCAGGCTGGATTTCACCCAGCACAGCATACCAATATGTACACGGCACCGGCTGGATTTCACCTAGCACAGCATACCAATATGTACACGGCACCGGCTGGATTTCACCCAGCACAGCATACCAATATGTACACGGCACCGGCTGGATTTCACCCAGCACAGCATACCAATATGTACACGGTGGCTCAACCGTGTACAGACAGTTGACAGTGTAGTGCTGTTGCGGTCATTGAAATCCGTTGAGAAGTCAAGCGGTTACAGTGTGCTGGCGGCCTCCAGCCTTGAGCACTGCTGCACATGATTCAGTGTGCGTGTACGCGCTAAGCAAGTAATTCGCAGCCCCCCCCCCCCCTGATTCCATTGGATTTCGATTGGTTTTCAATGTCCAGAACAGTAGATGAAGGTAAGAACGACCTAGGCTACAAGTACACTGAGGAGCATGGATAGTTAGTTGCCCTCCCCCCCCCCCCCCCCCCGCTCTTCGGGGGGGGGCACAGTACCGTATGGAGGTACATGCCGGACACTAACTAGCTGCATGGACCTTGTTAGGTCTCATCACCGCGGAGCTCAGAGTGCGGACCGGCCCAACCAACCACAATCACAATGACTCTGCCGGGGAGTCCAGTCCAGTGATCTGCAAAGCATATTTAGAATGGCTCAAAGAATCAAAGCCAGAGTGCTCCAACGCCTAGGAACACAGCGACTCGCGGCTTTGCACGGGGGCAGATAGCCGTGACGCTGTCCGGACAAGACGGCTCACGCTCGAGGGAGCGCAATACACGGCTGTTAGCTGCACTAGGATCGCGGCTACATAGTTTTCTGCACGTGAACCATGCTAACCTAATGCATGCTCATGCATAACCAGTCAGCTGGCCTGCTCGGCGGCTCGCCCACGCATTTGACAGGTAACAATTCCATCAATTTGAGATATCGCTTCATTCTCAAAACAGCCCTGAAGTCACCAAACCACGCTGGTAATCGATGGCTATTCAATGTTAACATCTTCAGTAAGACTTCAGCCGTTTCCCAAGAGTTTGGGCATCGTTGCTGTTATTTTCAACGATGTTCTCCTTCCTCTTGTCTGGAGCTGCCATTGCATCCTGGAATTATTTGAAAGGTATTTCGTGCTGGCTGTGGGGGGGTTCCTACAGGCATAAACTGACATCGCTATAGGATAACTGGTAACTTTCGCCCTTCAAGGAGGTAGAGCAATGGCGATTTTTGTGGCGGTCGTGGCTGTATTTGTGGACTTTGGAGGCTTTCGTTCTGCCTGGTACTAGTCGCTAGCTACTCTATTGGAATCGTTGTTTTGGCATATGCGGCTGTCTTATTTGGTAGACCTGCTGTTTTCAGTCCCTTGGAGCACTTTGTCTAGCCTATTTGTCCTTCGTTCATGCCATCTACATGTATCAATGTTGTGGGGTAGCTTGTATTTCTCGAGTAAGCCCCTAATTCTTGATTTATTTATTTATTTTTTATTTGAGTCACGACTTCAATTGTATTTGCTCAGCGAGCCCTCGTTCACGCAGTTTTCCGAATCGTAATAGTCAATATCTGCTTGCTGGGCGGACTAGCGCCGTAGTAGCGGCTACGATAGGCATGACCGAATGGTCCAAGACATTCTGTGTGTACACGATAATGTTTCCATCATCGTGAAGTGACCGTTGTGGAATTGCAGTCGTCTCAGGCTGCCTTTGGCGCTGAGGACCTGAGGAGAGTTGATTGTTACTTCTACTCAGCAATGAAGCGATCATCAGCTCTCTTTGTTCTAAAGTATTGAGAGGACATACGGGCATCGCAATCAAGTAAAGATTAGGCAAACCTCGCCAACCTCCAACAAGAGTCGAAGATATTTTCTCCAAATGCAAAGACGATCTTTGTGAGTTTGCGACTTGCATTTGCGTGCATACATGAGCAAGTCACGGACCACGGCACGTGCGCGGTTACCATGCCATCTCGAACCGACGCCATCTTCCTAAGTAGCCGCTTCTTGGCAGCCGTGGATAGTAGTAGTCCGAGTCAATCATCATGATCGAATGTCGATCTTTCTACTCCATAATTACTATAATTATATTTTATTGAATAATGCTTAGGGCTTGCTGTCACAAACTATTACCATATTACCGGTAAGGCCACCCTTTCTTTTTTCGTTGTTTAACGTCCGCGCCCGCGTACCTTTTTGCCTCCGACCTGAAAAAAAAAACAAGAAAGTAGTAGTACCAATAATATGCGAAGTTGTAAATACATGATTGTGTAGTTTCACAGTGTGCCGATCATGACCTTAAACTTATAATCTTGCCTCCCGGGCATGCCTTTGTCTTGTGTTCTTTTTCTTTTTTTTGTTGGCTTTTAAATATTGTACGGTGTGTGCCCTAGTAAAAATCCAGATGTAATGAATTCATGACATGCTAACTCCATGCTATGTACCTGTTTTGTTGGATTCATCAGGCATGTGCTCCAATGTACCATCAAAGAGTGTTGTTCATGCCTGCAAGTGCCGCTAGACCCAGAAATATTGTATATATCGCATGCTTTACTGGTCAAAATGTTTGATTGGGGTTTCCAGTTTTTGGAATGGGCTTTTGTTTTTTTTCCGCCCTCCCGCGTACCTTTTCGCGAAAAAAAGGACGTTAAACAATGAATTAACAAAGGGTGGCCTAATAGACCAATCCCGAAAAGATTGTCTGGGTTCGAAAGGGGGCATGTCAACTGAGAGTACACTGTACAACACGTACACATACATGGCACTACCTGATCAGCATGCGCACAGGACGTGTTCGATAGTTCGCGTGTGCATGCGAGGGTAAGTACACGGTTTTCTCGTTAGTTGCATGCAAAAGAGACGATGCGACAGAAAGCAAAGCCCTTTGTAGTTTTCTCTCTCGCACTGGTAATGGTCTGCTGTTGGAGTGGAAATGCTAAGACATAATCCTTGTTTCGCTCTTCTGTGTAGTGTGAACAGGTCAACGAACATGTAGAGCTCACTTTGATGAAGTAGGCAAGGCTGTGAGCGCTGTGGCTCAAAGCGATAGGCCCTAAATCTTACGAGATATTTCGAGTGCTATTGTTTGTTGCGAGCGCTTCGTCTTCGATGAGTCCTGCCTCTTTCCTGGCAGCTGCCCTTCTATAGGATCAACCACGAAGTGACTGTACTCATCTGCAGCCGATTAATGTTATATTGCACAAGAAGATATCGTTTTCGCCAAGCCAGTGCCCCGCCAAAGACCATCGCCGTGTCACACCGTCGGAACGAGTTCATGATGAGAAACATCATTCGCGCGAGCGTGATGAACTATTTCGAAAGACAACATAGTCTTTACCCCCGGGACGACAACTATGTGCACGTCCTGCAAGGGGAGAATGTCACCAGCGACATCAACGAAGACGACGGCAGTATTTCGGAAACCTGGAGTCAGCGGAGGTCGTCAAGCTCCTCCGGCTCCGGCTCCGCGACCGGGTACATGTACAGTATAGATGACATGTCGACACGAGCGTGCGGAAACACAGCATACACTGTAGTAATGTTGCGAGAGTTTGCGGAAGGAGTCCAAGTCGGGAAATCCATCAGCTCCAAAAGCTACCTGTAGGTGGGCGATGAGACTCCAGCTTCAGACTACAACAGTCAGGACTTGTAAATAGTTGAACTTTGTGAAGCAGCAGATCGAGAAGTTAGCTGAAATCGTAGCTGTTGCAGTATGTCGGCGCTATGTAGCATGCATTTTTTACGGAGAGTCGATCGCCACGCGAATGTTTCTCTCCTCACCGAGAGCTATCTGGCCTCCAAACTCCGTCAGGGTCTGCCTAAGGTACCGAAGGTCCTTTGACTAGCTGCTGGCAGGACTCCATCAAATCCTTTAGCTTCAGCTCGGCGAGCAAAAGTCTCTCTCTCCTCCGCCATGAGCTGACACACACAAACTGAATACAAAACGATGCACTTCACACGTGCTGGCTTGCACGCGTGCCCCCTTTCACGAACCCAGACAATCTTTTCGGGATTGGTCTATTGGAAGCGTTCATGCACTCACCTGTCAGCGCCAGGAAAGCCAGTAGAATCACCGCTGCTCGCCACGCCATAGGCATAGCGGCTTGCTTGCGTTATCGCCCTTCGCTCTGCTCGGGTGGTGCAGCAGAATTCGTTCGACAACGAACACCACAGAGGTTCCCAAGCGACAGGTGTGTTGGAAATGTAACGACAATGACGTTTCAGCCGCATACAGTACACGTATGCAACGCAGAGAAGAACAAGCACATCGACTAACCGGATTCATTTTCTCTTGCGTCTTGGTCGAGTTAGTTGGTGACTATTGGTCCTGTGTCGCTGACAACTGGCGTGTTTCTCGACCCACCACAAACAACACATTGGACAGACGCGGCCTACTTCCGCTAGTCCGCTCCATAGGCATTACGCGGCTAGCTATGAGTATGAACTACATGACATACCTAGTAATGTACTCAGGCCAGGCGTAACAAGCAGACTGCACGGAGTTCGGAGGCAACAACCGAACGTTGTGCCTACACGTAGTCGTAGGCTACAGAGTAGATCTACTGGTCTCAGCAGCAGTAGACCCTCCACATGATTGTATTCTACACCTCCAACAAGGACACTGTCCCTGACCTGGGCCACACTGACTCAGTCTCACGCTGTTGTCTATAACCGAAAAAGACAGCTAGCAGGCCTCAGTCAGGGTAGATTCTACCGGGTGTCGTGGCCCGTTCACGCATCTTCTATTCCTGTACTCCGTCTCGTGAGGCCCTTGAAAGCTCTGCCAGACTGACTCGACTGTGTGAGTAGACCTGTGGAGCTATCCCTACCTTGTGGTCCGTCACCACGGGATCCTTTGCGGGAATTCCAGGCCACTAAATTAGTAATGTTGAGGAGGTATTCACCTTCCTCGTGAGACTCGATGCTCGTAAAGCTGAGCTCAGCTTTACGAGCAAAGAGTCTCACGAGGAAGGTGAATACCTCCTCGGTAGCGACAGTATTCCGGCATTCATCCTGAAGCATTATGCAGCAGCCCTCGCCCCGTCGCTATCCATATTAATTTAAAATGCATCCCTTTCGTCTGGCATTGTGCCCGTCTCCCTGGAGATTGCAAATGTTCGACCCCTATTTAAGTGTGGTGACAAGAACGCATCTCGCAATTACCGTCCCATATCTTTGCTGCCAATAGCATCGAAGATCTTGGAGAAGATAGTCCACAAACGCCTGTATGACTTCTTACAAACCCATTCACTTTTGCCCGCCAATCAGTTTGCGTATCGGTCACAACACCCCACGGAAGATGCCTTGACCTTGGCCATGGACGTACCGCTACCTGTCGTCCGCAGACCACCAGCTACATACTGGCGCAGTACTAGTGGACATGAGCAAGGCATTCGATAAAGTACGGCACCAGCTCATGATCCAAGATTTGTTTGTTTTGGGTGTATCTTCGACTGCATTGCGTTGGTTTACGAGCTACTTCACGACCGTCGACAGAGAGTAGTTCTGGCGAGTGGGCAGTGCTCGGGCCTAACTGCATGCAAGTGTGGAGTCCCTCAGGGTAGTGTACTGGGTCCTTTGCTGTTTTCACTAATAATTATTATACCATGGACGTCCACAGCGTCACCAGCCCAGCACACTCCCAGCTGTTTGCGGATGACATCCTTCTTGACACCGCAAGCAGATCCGTAGCAACCCTAAATCAAGTCTTGTCAGTTGCTGTGTCAAACTTGGCTGACTACCTACACGGGAAAGGCCTGGTTTTAAACCCCGACAAGACGCGGGTCTAAGCCATCGAGGCACCACGCCGTAGTACCCTGGAACTCAATTAGCGGCAACGGGACGCCTCTCACCCAGACCACCACTGCTCGCTTTCTGGGCCTACAGATCGATTCCTGTCTTCGGTGGGACGCGCAGGTCTCTAGCATAGTACGTAAAACTTCCCAGAAGCTAACCACCCTGAGAACCATCCGCCCGCCGCTATCTGAACGCCAGTCGCTCCTCTTCTATTCTGCCCTTATACTTCCTGACATGCTTTATGGATCAAACGCGTTCTTCTCTGCACTCACGGCTCAGCAGCGGCACCAGCTCACTGTCCTCGACAAGCGATGTGTTCGCTGCGTAGCCAATCTGCCCTTCTCGTCCCATATCACTCCTATAATACACTCGCCTTCCCTGACCCCTCACCCCTGCCAAATGCAAACTCCGTTTCCTTATGCACCGTGTCCACACCAGCAGCATGCCATCAGCCCTCTTCTGAAAGATAAAGTAGCCCTCCAACCTCCCAGTAACACCCGTGGCAATGACAATTGCAAATACGTTGTGCCGCTAACTCGGCGAACATCTGGCGACAGCCGACCATTGGTTTCCGCCGTGAAGCTTGGGAACACCCTGCCACAGGAACTCACGTCCACTCGTCGTCCAACCCCGTTTAATTAAAAGATTGCTGAAAGTGTTTTTCGACGGTTAATATGGCCGAATAGTACCGCCCTCTGGCATAGGTCCTCATCTTCCTATTTCTCTCTGATTGTTAATTCGTTCGAACTTGACTTGTGATTACCGGTACATACATAATAATTATGTCATGTATACTTCCTATTGACTGTTTTCTCATTTTCTCAAGTACAGCTTTATCGAGCCACACTTTTTATTCTATCGCCATCATAATACAGTATTGGGCATCAATGCCCGTTTGGTTTGCGATGTAAAATAAAACTAAGTTACTTCAAACAAACAAACAAACAAACAAAAACTGGACACACAGCTAGAGAGTGCGTGGTGGAAACAGAGCGCAAATATCGTCGTCATCTTTACCATTTTTAGTGCACCTACCTCCTTTTCTTGCAAGATCGCGCCAGCCTAGCCTAGCCGTCAAATGAAAAAGAAAAACTTTTTTTTCAAAATAGATTGCCTCTGTGAGTCTGTGACGTAGATCTACGTAGCTACGTGTTTGATTCTGGATTGTGCAGCTGACAGTGCCACACATGTACACGGGCCGACGGGGAGATTGAGAAACATTTTGAAAGACTTTTATCACTCGGACTCCAGGGTTTCCTTCTGAGCGTTTCGTGTAGCAGCAAGTTTGGATGAGTGCAACTCTTTCTTAGATCCAGAAGACAACAGTGCCAAGCACTTGAGCTGCGTCGAGTGGTTCCCGTCCGATCAGCGAACTCGTTTACTTTTATCTAAAGATCTCGGTGTTTGCTTTTTTTCGTTCAAACATTTCATGTCCAGTTGACTGGTTTTGTTCTAGTTGAGTAGTGGTAGTAGTGACTGGAAGCGGGCCACGTTGCTGTAGCTCTGTGGAGGAGTTATCAATTGGGGTTTGTCCCGGCAGTTGATCTTGAATTTCAACTGATGGTAACTGATTCTGAACCACTGCCATTCTGCGCTGTACGAGTACTGTAGCAATACTATTATGTCGTCGGGATCAACTACTGCTGCTGTCGCTGGATGTGCCGGCGAGGCTGGCGTACGCGGCGCAGCTGTGGCGGGCGGCGCAGCACACACGTTGGGCGGTGGTGATCCTGCAACAGCAGCAATGGCCGCGGCGGCATCGCGAGCACACCCATGCCCGTGCCTGATGTGCAGCGAGTCGTTCAACGTGTGCGACAGCGCCGGCAAGCAGTACCTGCTGCGGCACCTGCTCGTCGCGCACCACGTCGTCATCGGCGAGGTGGATGAAGTGCTCGACCTGCCCGTGTACTGCTCGTACTGGCAGCAGCGCCTGGCCGGCCATCAGCTGACGGAGTTCATGGCCGTCATCCGCACCAACACCAAGGCGCCAACAGTGCCCACGCCGGAGAAGTACGTGGCGCCGCAGGAGACCTACTACCTGCTGAACAAGGCGCTGCCCGAGGACGCACGTCTACGCCGGGACCTGGCCCTCAAGGCGGCGCTGCACGCGCAGGAGCTGGAGCGCGCGGACAGCAGCACGCAGCGCTCGTGCCTGTTCTGCAGCAGCGAGTTTGCCGGCGATCGGCGTCAGGTGCTGGCGCACATGCGCGCGGCACACGGCTTCAATCTGGGCAAGGCCGACAACCTGGTGTTCGTGGACGAGTTCCTGCAGCTGCTGCGCGCGCGTCTGGACCAGTTCACGTGTCTGTACTGCGAGCGCGTGTACAAGGACCGCTCCACGCTGAAGGACCATGTGCGCAAGAAGCACCACCGCAAGATCAACCCGGACAACACGGCGTACGACCGGTTCTACATGGTGAACTACGCCACGCCGAGCGGTGAGAGCTGGCAGCAAGGCAGGGAGATTCCCGACGAGGACGACGATGATAATGATGGTGATGATCAGGCGGAAGACGAGGAGCTCAGCGACTATGCAGGCAGCTACGGATCGGCGCCCACCGGTTCATCGGCGGCAAGCAGTGCCGTGAGCGACTCACTACTCGGCGATATCGCATGTCTCTTCTGTCTTCACTACGCCAGCGATCTCCGCAGCTTGAACGCACACAGCGTCGAGGAGCACGGCTTCGATCTCGTCGAGGTGCTCGCCAAGCTCGGCTTCTACTGGCGCGTTCGCCTGGTGAACTTTGTGCGCCACCGCGTGAACAAGCGCATGTGCGTGCTGTGCGACGCGGTGTTTGACAGGCGGGAACTGCTGCTGCGGCACATGACGGCCGAGCGGCACTTCAGCGTTCCCGAGCGGAAAATCTGGTCGGATGTCAACTACTTGTTTCCGACCGACGAGGGTGATGCACTGTTGCAGCAGCTGGCAGAGCTGGATGACGACGATGACGGTGGTGATGCTGAAGAGTCCGACGGCGAAGTTGCCGTTGCCGAAGATATGCAGCCACCCGATGCGGAGGCATTCGAGGAGCTGTCTCGGCTTGTGCGTGATGCCTCGACTCGTGATGCTTCCGCTGTCGTATAGATCTCCTCTATATTGTGTATTTGTAACCGCCTTTGATGTGGTCTTTGATAGGATTGTTGTTGAGCTGAATATGTGAGCCCTGATCTGCCTTTCAGCAGACGTAATTTTTGGACTTCGGACATCAGCCCTGCCTACCTGTGTGTGTGTGGTGTGTGTGTGTGTGCGCACGCGCGCGTCGCTGTCTCTCTTTCTCTCTCTATATATCTCTTTTTTTCTCTCCAGTGATGCAGGCAGGTGCTAACTTTTATCCTCTCCTCTTCCGTTTTTTAATTCTTTCGTACAGAAGCTGGCGTATCACTCTACGTGGGGCTGGCTCCCTGCCATGATTGACATTCAGTTCACATTGGATACAATATATATCGCTCTGCTAATTGTGCTGTTTCTGCTTGCTTTTGCTGGTTGCCTGGTTTTGTTGTCGATGATGGAGGAATACGCTTCCTCCTTGCTTTGCGTTCTTTGAGTCAACAGACTTTTGCAGTCGATTACAATCCCGCCGCTGACCAAACACGATCACGTGACCACCCAATGTCGTAATGAGGCAGGTTTGGGCCATGTATGGCAAACGGATAACTACGGATCGATTCGTCAGAGAAAGAGAAAAAGTAAAAAAGTTTTTAAAAAAAACAATTCCACACACACACACACACACACACACACACACTTGTATTATAAGTCTTGCTCAGTGCCAAGACTGGTCACGTGGGTTTCCCCGGGAGAGAGGAGAGAGACTGCAAAGGAATCTTGGAAAGATGACTCAATTGGCTATTGAACCGCCCAACGGCCGACACCCCCTGAAATCCCCAAACTATGGGTGGACTTGGAAAAAGATCCCACTCATGGGCTCACCACACCTCAGTATTTACTAAAAAGTGGGCGAGGACAAGGTGCAGAAAAAAGGATTGAACGCATCAAGGTATCCGTCCCGGGGTCCAACTGCGGTTACCCCTGACCCCAGTGAGGGCAACACTTGGTACCAGTGTAGGTGGCTAAATCAGAGTGGATCTGATATATGCTTCACTAGCACCATTGATTACACAAGAGTTAATCTAACCAGAAGCAGTCCATGGTTAACAGGTATGTATACTTCAAATAGAAAGTATATGAACCCTGGAACCAACAAAGGTGTCAGGTACAACCAAGAGTACATAACCCCCCAGAGTGTGCAACGCCGATCCAGCTCTGCATAGGGTCTTGGTCGAGCGGAATCGGATCTTCTGATGTCATGCGTACACTCCACACCAGCGCAAGGCCGGTCTCGAGGCAGGGCACCATTGTTTTTGATCCAAGAGTACCCGCGACTCCCCGGGTTCCCCTCAGATGTGTACGGTATTATGACGCAAAGATCCGATTCCGCTCGACCAAGACCCTATGCAGAGCTGGATCAGGCGTTGCACACTCTGGGGGGTTATGTACTCTTGGTACAACAATACACCTTCGAGCAGCCGAGCCTGTTGACAACACACACACCACACACACACACACACACACACACACACACACACACATACACACCACACACGCGCGCCCGCACACACACACACACACACATTGGTGGTCAACAACTCCACCGGATATAGTTTGTCACAGACACTAAGAGAATACAAGAGCACTCTGAAAGGGTAATAAAAAAACTGGATAATAAAAAAACTGGATAACAAAAAAAGGCCCACGGAAACTACAGAAAATGGACATGAACAGGGCGGGGCAAAATGATCGACATTGCCTGAAGTGTTAAAAACAAAGTTCTAAGAAAAATACTTAAGGGGGCTCAGTACTTCTGCGCGCGCATCGAAATCACGGCATGATTTTATGCAAAATTTCGCGTTTGAAAACATTTTGTCCGCGGCTGGAGAAAGTTTTTTTGCGAGAAATAGTCGTGTTCAAAAGTTTATTTTGCGAGAATTCAAAGAAACTGCAGTCCTTGAACAGTTTGAACGTTTTGTGTTTTCCATTTTGGTTTGCTGGATGTCGGCGATCGATGGAGCTATGGAGCTTCGTGTCAAGTACTTGTAGTTATCAATAGGCACGGCCGTTTTCGTGGGCGCTCAGGAACAAAGCGTGTTCAATCTTCTTCAGGTCGTGTAGTTCTAACTTCCAGCTCAGATATGCCCTTTTCTCAGTCTCGCCTACCAGTGAAGACAAGTAAACCCGCAAGATTGTCCAGAGCCCAGCTACCAGTGATACATGTACCAGTCTCAGAGCGCAGGTAAGTGACATGCTTCTCTCAAGTTCAAGTGCATCCACTTGAGTGGCACTTGGAACGATATCTATTTTTTTCTTTTCCAGTCGCCAGATAAAAATGTTACTGACGACTGTGAGAGAAAAACTGGTCTTGTACCTGCAGTACCTGGAGATAGTGGAGTCAGAGTGTAGTGTCTGCAAGTAGAGACTTGATCTCTGTGAGTAATGAGTGTGGTCTGGATGAGACTGGAACAGCCAGTAGGAACAGCACAGCGACATGCCAGTGAAGTGTTCTATGTGTGGGCAGGAGAATTTGGTCAGACATCTGAGTCTCATGCTGGATGGAGTGGAAAGCATGGATCCTATGAACTCTAAGGCTGCACTGGGTGAGTTCTGACCTGTGCCTGTGTTTCTCAGGAGAAGGCTGTGGGTTCAAGGTAGTATGGCTGTGCTTGTATCATTGAACTATGACAGGAATCTGTATATATTATAAAACTGAATATTGAAATATTGGCAATATGCCTTGTAGAACAACTTGAGCAGAGACAGTCACAGATACGTAATATTATGCATGGTCAAGTTGCCACATTTTCATGAGCTCGGCCTTGACCTAGACTGTAAATGCAGCATAAAATTGTGTTATGCATGTTGTGAAGAACTGCAATATTACCCAGGCAAGGCAAGACAAGGAATGTCAACTGAAATCATGAATCACAGCAGTACACATTGCAGCACTAGTCAGGCTTCTGTCACAGTCTCAGCAAACAAGCTGCAACATGGGTGTTTGTAGAAGTCTAAATATTCTTCAACAACAACAACGTTATATAATCATGCCTACAGGTACAATCATCTGGTGTTGGCATTTGAGAGGAATCAGGGAACTGGCATCCTTGGATTATTGCACGAACCGGGTGGCGATGGGCGTGTGCTAGTCAAAACGAGTTCTGCTATTGCAAAACGCATAACACATCATCTAGCATCTGGAAGACCCAACACCAACAACCCTATTTTACACACTGCTCCAGACCGCACAAGTACTCCAGCAGCTGCAGGAGGTGCAGCATCGTCCCCACTTTCTACCACTCGTGATGATGCTGCAGTTATCTGCTCAAACATTCACGTTGTGCTGCACACCGGAGGCGCGAACCCACAATACCAACAGTGGCTGCTAGCCATCGCATGCAGCAGTAACCAAGCAACTCAAGTTGCTCATTGACAGCGTTATACTTATAATCCGTTGTTTTGTACATTGATATACGGCACATGTATGTATGTATGTTTGTACATACTCACAATATACAACAAAGATGTGAATAACACAATTCAGTTGTGACTGTTGCATGTGGTATTGTCTGGGATTGGTCTATAGCAAATGATTCTCGACCTACATAGTCAAAGTGAAGCTTGAATGAAGTCGATACACTCATTTTGGCAACAATGCTGAATCTGACTTTCAAGTTGAATATGCAAAATCCGTCACAAATTTTGTTTCTCACGGAGAAACGAGATGGTAGACATAAAAATCTATTTTTGTAGAGCCTTCCCATGGCCTTGAAGAGCAGATAATGACCATAAAATGGACCATGTTATTGTCTCGATTCTCCACTATTCAAACAAGTCTAAAGTCCGGTCTGCTGAAATACGCGTTTTGCCAAATCACATTCTGGGCTACATTGGCCTCTCACAGTGGTCTGGTCATATGTCGTGGACATTTTCCAAAGAAGACAGTATTGTAGGCCCCTCCATACCCACTTTCAGGATTTTTGAAGCATTACCAACTGGAATTTTACGCCTTTAGTGAGAAATCATTGATTTTTTGCCGAAAAACATAGGTACAATACCACCCCCATAGCTGGGGAACCACATAATAAACCTATCCTTGAAATAGCCCAGACCAGTTCTCTAGGTGTCTGGCCATCTGAAAACACACAGTTCAGATCGATTTACCATAATTTTTTTTGCTCCCTCTTCGGGGTTGAGCCCCCTTAACTCTGATGGAGAGCCAAGGAAAACGTGTAAAAAGAGAAGTCGTGTTGGACACAAACAACGGACTTGTAAACCTATGGTTCTTCTGCTTACAAAAATATTTGAGTTCTGGAATCTTCAAACAAGGCTACTTACTGGCTACAATCAATCTTGTGGAGATAAGCATAAAACTCGCATAGAAGCAACGGTCAGCGTATTATTGGCCGTAGGCCATGAAGAGAATACGATATGACCACAATCACGAACGAAAAATACAACAAATGCAAAGGTACCGAAAGGGCAACTGTCGCCAGGATGTGCCGATGGGAATGCTACGAACTCAGCTTACCAGAAAAGCTGGCTGGTTTCCATTTGTTTGGCTAGGACATAACCGAGACAAATGCTGTTAAAAAAGCACTCAAAGCCTTTTTTCTTAGTTCACACACATGTACACCCAAATTAAAACTACCATGGCTTAGCACATGGATACGACCTCACCGAGTATGTAGACTGGTTTAGCACATGGATACGGCCTCACAGAGTATGTAGACTGGTTTAGCATATGGATACGCCCTCACAGAGTGTGTGGAGTGGTTGAGCACATGGATACGACCTCACACGGCGTTTAGCACACGGACACGACTTTGCAGAGTGTGGCTCTGCATAACTATGATGGATAAGACCACGTAAACTAGCCTAGCAGCAGCACATGCATAAGACGGTATGTTACAGTGCTGTCCCTGCTGCTGCTGCTGCTGCAGTCAGCACACACACGCACACACACACACACACACACACACACACGCGCGCGCTCTTCCACTGTAGCTGCCACTGGCCACGCATGCGTGTGCGTGACGCGAGCACACGGAGTCAGTCTTGACAGTGCAGCACGGTCGACGACGAGATGCCCAAACAGGTGGCGTTGCCGAGACAAGAATCACGAGCCAGGCAAGACGGGGAAACCACACGGTTGTTTACTAGTGTACTTGGTCAGTGCCGAACCAGCCAGCCTTGCAACACACACATGCACACTTGAGCAGCCATGTTGCTGAAATCTAGCGAGTGTTGGATAATGACCCCGGCTAGCACGCACACAGATAGGCATTAGTCAGCACCGCGTACCGGGGGTTCAGCTCTTGGTCAGCACCGCATACCGGGGGTTCAGCTCTTGGGTTTCTGCAAGCAACAAAACAAAGGAACGTGTTGCAAAGAAAAAAATTCTTGGCACATGCGAAACAGAAGAAGAAAAAAAGGAAAGCACCCCCGGTGGGATTCGAACCCACAACCTTTGAATGCCGTCAAGCAGCTAGCCCGATTAGAAGTCCAATGCGCTAATCCATTGCGCCACGGGGGTGACTACGGCTTCCACAACACGCACATGCCTCAACCACAGTACAGTGCAGTTACGAGAAAGAAACTACCGCATTTGTGGCGTATAAAATCTAGCCCTCCTCCTGTAGAAGCTGATGTCAGCATATTGGGTTTCTATTCAAACGAGGCTTGTATTCAAACCAGGTAATAAGCCCATTGTGCATTGCCAAATATGGAAAGTATGAGTAATGCATGTGAGTACACTGGGATCAGCAATGTACTGTTCAACACCCCCACACGACCATGCCCAGGTGGCTGTGTGGGGTGTTTATGGCACAAATTACGTCATTGCGCAATGGACTTATTCCATGTATGCCAAAGCTGAAACTAGGCTTATGTGCTGACAGTCCAGCTTGAAAAGCAGGCTTCTGTACGAAACAGGCACTGCGGCATTGTACGAAACAGGCACTGCGGCATTGTACGAAATGTTGAAAGCGCCATGCAGAATATGACGTAGTGCTCAGTGTGGATGTTGCGCCTACCTGTCCAAAGTTAGCTGCCAATGTGATGCTGGATTGCCTGGGTCTAGATACCGATGCAGCAGCACCGGCAGTATCAGAGGCGGTATCAGTGGCCGATGACCTCTCCCGCCGCCTCTGCCCCGAAGACTCTGAAGACCGTGCAGAAGCAGGAGCAGCATGAGCGGTGGCGGCAGCAGTGCCAACACTTGCGTTGCCAGTACCTTGGCCCTGCTGGTGATGTCTTGATGAGGCGCTGGCCCGATGCGCTCCTCTACCTCTGGACGATGCGTCAGAAGCGGGGCTGCTGGAGGAGGATGAGGCGGCGAAGTTCCCGGATGACCTGGGCCTCGCCGAGTGGTGTCGTGCATCCGGTGTGCTGTCATGGGGCTGGTGACCACCACGTCCTCGGTGTGCGCCCTGTCCCCTCCGAGAGCCCCTGCCCTGACCTCGGGGTGATGGCCCGGACTGCTGCTGGTACTGTGCTCTGTGATGGCTGCTGGCTGACTGACCTGGGCTGGTTTGTGGGCCATACAGATCCTGTAATGCATCGCGCTGGAACCCCGAGGCACCTCCTCGTGATGGGGTACCACCTCCTCCTCGTGACGGTGTGCCACCTCCCCGTGACGGGGTACCACCTCCTACCCGTGACGGGGTACCACCTCCTTCTCGCCACCTTGTAGCACCTCCGCCTGACGAGGGGCTAGAAGCAGCACCTCCGCGTGTCCCGCCTGGCGTGGAGTATCTCCCATCCGGCCGCTGCTGGACCGAGTGCTGTGGAGTAGTGTAACCTACAAGCCATGCAGGTAGCCGCACAAGCAGTGGCAGCAAAAGCAGCCGCACAAGCAGTAGCAGCAGTCACAGCAGCAGCAGCAGCAGCAGCAGCAACAGCAGTAGCAACAGCAGCAGCAACAGCAGTAGCAACAGCAGCAGCAGTCCCAGCAGCAGTAGCAGCAACAGCAGCAGTAGCAGGCACAGCAGCAACACCAGTAGCAGCAGCAGAAACAAAAGCATACTGTATATATAATTTCACAGAATCCGTCGGGGAGCTACTCAGAAACTGCATAAGCTGACAGCCTACGGAAAACTGAAAACATCAGATGTATAATTCTAGACTACAGATTCTGTAGTCTAAAATTATACCCTCTCCTTGCCCAACCACCCGTGATCCCAACCAATCGAACCAAACAGTTGATGCTGCTGCTGCTGCTGCTGTAGAAGTACCGTAAAATTCCGTTAATAAGCCCCGGGCGTATACTTTGCAGAGCGTCAAAAACCGGGCGAATATTTGGGCATGGGCTTATTTTAGGGCATGGGCGTTATTTCGGATGCAATCTGCAGAAGATCAATCTATCAGCAACCCACTAGTTTCAGTGAATCACCATTCACACTGAGCGCGGTACAGGTACATCAAACCACAGCTGGAAATTTGGTCGTAACCAAGAATGTAGCGATAAATTACAGATTTGATAGGTAAACCACTTGCTATGGTAAGTACAAGGCACAACAGGTACCGGCGTGGCTGAAAACGTCGTGACGCTGAAGCAGGTAAGGCAGAAAACTAGATGACACTGAAATTATTATTAAAGCAGGCAGATGATGGTCAGGTGGCTAAACGTCATGATACTACTGGTCGCGCGCTGGTCATTTTGAGTCCACTTTACGCCCTGGGCTTATTTCGGGCATGGGCGCTAAAACGGACTTGAAGTGTACACCGCCTAAAACTGGGCTTATTTTCGGACATGGGTGTTATTTAGGGTGGGCTTATTTACGGAATTTTACGGTAGTCAAATTGCCGGAGAATCCATAAGAATTCGTCTGCTATGGTAAATTTCACCAGACCTGACACCGCAAGCCATTCCCCCCAGTTCACCAAGAGTACATACTAAACCCAACGTGTGCAGCTCCTATTGTGAGCTGTAATGGGACCAAACTTGGCATTTTTTTTATACTGCATCATTTTTTGGCAGAAGCATACTCAAGTGTGTATGCCTTTCAGCGCTTTAGTCTTGTAGATATGGTGTCAGTACATCAGGTTCAGGACGCATGGATCTACTCTCCGTTGTTCCGCTTCGACTGCCGTAGCTGTGATGTACAGGTTCTTTGTAATTTGATCTCTGGCTACGCACGATGGCATCAGTGAGTCAAATAGATTGATGTCATAAAAAATCCACAGTGGGCTGGGGAGCGTTGAGCTGGACAATCTTCGCTATCAAGAATAAAAAAATAAATAAAACAAAAGTACAAACCCCCTTGTCGCCATGTACTCTTGTTGTCTTATGAAAAAAAGAGAAGAAAAAATGTTTCCGCTCGGGTTCGAACCGAGGACCTTGTGCGTGTGAAGCACACGTGATAACCACTACACTACGGAAACTGCCACACAATCAGCACAAGTCGTAGCATATACATACAGTACTGCAAAATATTTTCGCCCAAAATCTGACACCATTTACCGCAAACACCTTTTGTCTTTGTGCTGTGGCGGCCCCCACTGGCAATGTTCACGTGTTCAATAGTGGTGTACACGTATGAGTGAGTGTGCGGATGTGTGCGCAACGAGTGAGTGCAGGGTGGACAGAGAACATCGGTTTTCCACAGAAATGCCGGTATCCGGATAGACGAGGGAACGGGATAATGGAACGCACATACTGACTATGTATCCATGATAACAGAGAGGTTCCACGTAACGCAATTACGTTAGTAAAGAACGTAGTCGATCTATGGAAAGTCTTACGTAAACTGCGTGCGCATCTGGGTTCCGCCATACGGAGTTTTCAAATCACGTAGCTGCCCTTGGCAACTCTGAACGCGGCAGTGTACGACCAGATCGACCTGGGGAGAGAGTCATAAATTTGTACCCCAATCCACTTACGGACCAGCTACGTTATCAGAGCCCTATCTACGTACTCTCCGTAGACAACTTTCCGTAAGTGGGAGTGCAAACTCGCGAATTCACGGGTTTGTCCCGCCCACTAACGTAAAGTTGCTCAACAAAAGTTGCTCAACTTTACGTAGCGCGGAACCTCTCTATTATTATGCTGTAAATCGGTAACCAACAATTTCCTTCCGGATGGCGAGGGATCCGGATAAAAGAGGACCGGATAAGCGAGGTCTGCCTGAACAGTGATTTGTGTGTTCAGTTGCTCTAAAAAGTGAAAAGACAGGACTTCTGCATAGGTACTGACCCCTGAAATTGTTGGCTATTTTCCGGACATATCCTTTTGCGGACCGGTTTTCGGAAGAGCTTTTAAAAATCGGACACTGTCCGAAAAATCGAACGGTTTGGCAGCACTGCATATAGCAAGACGACACGGGCGACTGGGGCTCTAATCATGCTGGTTTCGAGTCCAGGCTGCCATTTACAGCTGCCCCCAGGGCAGGGATGATTATTAACTCTTGCATGTGGCATTGCACACACGCACACACGCGCACGCACGCACGCACGCACGCACACACACACACACACAAAGATACATACATGTGCCTAGACCCTTACCTTCGGCAGAACCCGACTCCTTTGCTGCCTCCATGGTGATTGCATTCACAATAGCGCGGACTAGAGCCTGGAAATTGAAAACAATGTAAAGCAGAAAACACAAATACATGTATACAGGTAGAAAACCATGACATCATTGGAAAATTCACCTTCAGTTGAGTCTTGGAGTACACTAGAGACAGGACCGGCGGAAGCAGTCATTGATTGGTCCGGCCATACCCTAGCCTTGCATACAGTTTGTGTATGACATACTCTACCATTGAACTCTTGTTGTACAATGCGTGTTAAAACCTAAAAAAGAAGTTTGTGTACCTGCCTGCCTGCATAATACTATAGTGAAGTACCCCAGTATCCCCGCGTACGACTATGGCATATTTATATATACCGTCCGTGTACAATATACCGTGTATATTGTACACGGACTTGTTGACTCCACAAGCTGAGAGAGTGGCCAGACATCTCCCATAGTTTCCCAGCAAAGGCCCCAGATTACAAGTGTGTGAATCAGAGTAAAGTACAGCGAGAGCGTCAGGTCTTGTGAGAATTCCCCTGAAAGGAGAATCGTGTTGCTCAGTGCAACTACATGTAATAAAAAAAGGTACTGGCATTTTTTTAAATTTTTTTTACAAAGACCACTTAAATGCCAAACATGAGATGCAGCTAGGGGAAGCACGCACGCACAACATGTACCGGAGTCACCCAAGGGTGCGTTTGGTTGGTACGATCTAGAACAGGATCGAACAGCTGGTGCACGTGGAGCAGCCTCATGCCAACCAAACGGTACTCCAAAACCAGAGCATATTTTTTGTGAAAAATATGCCAAACTTGGTGCATTCTTCAAAATGTGTATGGGTCACTATGGTCACTGTGTACGGTACGACGAATCTAACCCCAAAGCGTATGCACGTGATCATTTGGGACCAAAATCGATGTTCCCGCCAGGTTTCACTGTGAAAAAATGAAACTGCTCGGCCTGCTCCGGCCTCGAGGCCGGAGCAAGCAGAACATGTTCTGGCCGACCCAGAACAGGTGCAGTCCCAACCAAACGCGCTGTTCTGGTGAATCCTGTTCTAGTTCGTACCAACCAAACACGCCCTAAGGCTGTGTTTACATGAAGCGTTTCAACCCGGGTTGAGTTCGACCCGGGTCAGATTTCAACCCGCCATGTGCACAAAGTGAATGGCGCGTTTACATGACGCATTGCGCTTGACCCGGGTTGATTTCAACCCTCCCCTTGGGGGGAGGGTTGAAATCAACCCGGGTCAAGCAAATCGTACAAACGTACTTCTGTGCGTATCTCGCGCCAGGTTTGAACGGCACTGCAGATGCAAATTTCGCGCGAACGGATTCACGTGACCATACAGGACTGTAGAAGTGGACTTTTGGCGGCATATCAGTATATGACCCGGGTCAACTGTCTTCATGTAAACGCTCACCTCTTTTGTTTGTCGTACAGACTTTCAACCCGGGCTGAACTCGACCCGGGTTGAAATTTCTCATGTAAACACAGCCTAAGCCCGACACGATCAAACTGCCCTGGTGTGTCAAGGATTCGCTCATCCGTCCCACCTCGACAAATAGTACAGTACTATGAAACGGTGGGGCAATTGTGGTACTTTACAGCAACTTTGTTTAAAAACGCCAAAAAAAGAAAGCGCCCAACGTGGGGCTCGAACCCACGACCCTGAGATTAAGAGTCTCATGCTCTACCGACTGAGCTAGCCGGGCTGCTACGCAACGAACATGTGTAGCAAACGTGGTAAACTTGGGTGAATGATCAGTCGGCTCGAATGCAAAGCTAGGGTACATAAGAGGAGTGGCATCCAGAGCGAGCCTATGATCAATGATCCCAACCAATGACTGCACTAGCCCACCCTGCTCGGTGACATACTCGGTTAAGTTAATGTAAGGCGTCTGAATAATCGGGAAGCAGTGTTTGATATTCCAGGTCATCCTTACTCCTGATGCAGCACCCAGCTGCCGACGGCCATTATCCCGGAAAGCATTGGCACGGAATACATTAACACCCACACGGTTCAGATGGTCGCAAGACCGGGGCTCTACCAACCGTGGATGGTTGTAGTATGGCGCACTGTTTGCGAACACGGTGTTCCACCACCTTGTAATATGCTGCCAAACTAAAAAAAAGCGTGTTTCTACAATACAAGGTTTATCTAAAATAATTATAAAGATAGTGTATGTAAAGTCAGTCAACCCAGTGAATAACAACATTGGGTATTCCGACAATTTGACCCACGGTCGGACGAGCTGCCCAGGCCTCACCACCACTGCCGTTTCTGTACCGCCTTCTTTATACATACGCATGTACACTGCATATGTGCACATTCACATGTCTGAAGGTTTGTGGCTTTCAATAAAGAAATTTAAAAAAAACTCACGAATAATGACCTCGGGTATGATGACAACTCGCGAATAACGACACTTTCCCTGCCCGATCGAGTGTCGTTATTCGCAAGGTTGACTGCAGCAGAAACCAAGAAGTTACCAACGTTTTCAATCACACCCACCGCCGTACAATCCTCTCAGTGCTCAGTTTGCTTGGTGGGTACAGTCCACCGCTAGTTAGTGATAGGACAAAATGTCGTGGTTGGCTATCACCCCTCTCTCGCACTTCGTGTGCCAATTGGTCATGGACCACGAGTTGAGAAAAATAAATAAGATGAAATAACTTGACGATGTGAACCAGTGTGAGATGCAGCACAAAGGTAAGGTCGCCACTACCTAAAAACAAATTTAAAAAAAAACTCCGCTGTGTGCCGATTGTCCTGGAGTTTTCTGGCGCTATTCAAGATGGGCTCCGAATCAAGCGAGTACAGATCAACTACCTTGCAGTGGCATGTGATTTGCCAGCTCGCACACAAGTTGGAGAACATACTCTGCCAGCTGTAAATTGCAACTAAATCTCGCTGCAACTCGTAGAATCGGTGAAGCACCCAGGTGTAACAGGCGATGGTGCCATGTCTCGGGATGATCGCATAGTTCGCTATGCCCGGGGTGTTGTATGCCCCAGAGGTTTGTCGCACACTTGTGCGGGTGATATGATCATTAACAAAACTGGAGAAAAAGAAAAAAAAGAAAGCGCCCAACGTGGGGCTCGAACCCACGACCCTGAGATTAAGAGTCTCATGCTCTACCGACTGAGCTAGCCGGGCTGCTACACAAGAAGAACACGAAGCAAATGTGGTAAACTATTACCAAGAGTACAACCCCCATGTTATATACAGAAGCCTTGCTTGGTAGTTTAACATGTTTTTCGATTTTGACAGCATGTTACAAGGCGAGGACGCGTAGTGCTCCTGATTACAACCATAACCCGGTTGGCAGAACACGACGACTTCTACAACACAAAAAAAACGAAAATTATAAAAATCCTACCAACCCGTAGAGTAACGAGGGTGCGAACCTGGGTTTTCCCAATACGGTTCAAATGGTCGCAAGACCGGGACTCTGCCAACTGGGTTATGGTTGTAGTCAGGAGCACTACGCGTCCTCGCCTTGTAACATGCTGTCAAAATCGAAAAACAACCCCCCCCCCCATGTACAACGCCTGATCCAGCTCTGCATAGGGTCTTGGTGGAGCGTAATCGGATCTTTGCGTCATAATACCGTACCCATCTGAGGGGAACCCGGGGAGTCGCGGGGGCTCTCGGATCAAAAATAACGGCGCCCTGCCTCGAGACCGGCCTTGCCCTGGCGTGGAGTGTACGCATGACATCAGAAGATCCGATTAAGCTCAACCAAGACCCTTTGCAGAGCTGGATCAGGCGTTGCACACTCTGGGGGGTTAAGTACTCTTGCTATTACATGTACTTTTTCTTCTTCTTCTTTTTACTTGAAGAAGCACATAACCACCAGGAAAGCTGACAAAGAAAAAAGAGTAAGAAAAGACCGATAAAACTTGGAGGAATCATTAGTTGATTTGAATGGGAACTTGGAAGAGGCAAGGATTCTAGATGGCATGTGGCAGAGAATACGGCTGCCAAGAGGTGACAAACACACTTGGAGACATCATTCTGGCGACAACCCTCATCGCATCCTTTTTTAATCATATTTCTCAGACAGCTCTGCGATGCGTTAGCTTGGAGAAAGAACAGCAGCTAACGTTACAGCTCTTTTGGTTTGCCTTGTGTTGACTTCTTTTTGGCATTCAACGGGTTTGTAACAAATTCCGGACAACAAGACGTGTACTACTGGTATTGACAATACCTTACTCAAAGTACCTTTTCACATTTAGAGGAAGATTGGCACAACTGCAGCACCTTTGTCAATGATATCAAGAGTACATAACCCCTTGATATTGTTGATAATAGCGGTTTCCAACAAACGATAGGCCACTGAAGAAGTATTCCGCTCAGATTCCTAGAGATAAAAGCTCTTCGCGACAGGACAAACTTTGACAGAGTGGCGACAATAAACCGCCAGGTAACAGCTGCCGTGCTGGCTCCCTTGCCAAGGGCTGTGATGTCAAGCTACCTATGTACTACAGTAGGAGCTGCTTGTGTAAAATACGTTCGCAAACAAATTTGGCACAAAAGGATAGAAAAAGAAAGCGCCCAACGTGGGGCTCGAACCCACGACCCTGAGATTAAGAGTCTCATGCTCTACCGACTGAGCTAGCCGGGCTGCTACACAAGAAGCATGCGTAGCAAATGTGATACACGCGGAGAGCAAGGATCAGTTGACTGGGACAGGCAGTGGGGTACTGCAGGCCAACTACAATCAAACCTGACAAAGGCGACCACTCTGACAAGATGACCACCCAGAGCATCACTACAACTAGGATCTAGGGATGCTATTTCCAGTTAAACAACCCTGGATAAGGAGACCACCTATATATCGCCGAAGTCACAACCACTATTTCGTACCTGTATATGGGGACCACATTTTGAAGGTCCCTTGAGCGGTCGTCTTAGACCGGTTTCACTGTACTCCAAGGTGGACAACACACACACATGCATGTGCACACAGAAACCAAGACAACAACACGGCCAGGTGACAATGTGTGTGTCCATGTCACAACGTGCGTGTCTGCGTGACAACGCATGTCCGTGTGACAACGCGTGTCCGTGTGACAATATGTGTCCGTGCGCAAAGCGTGTCGCCGAGCAATACAGCACTTACCATGTCCTGTGGCGAGCGTTTCTTGTGCGGTGAGGCAAGCAGTCGCTGGAACGCTGCGTGGAGTCTGCATCGCACGGATGTCAAGCAGTCCACGACCTGGCCAAAACCCAGAAACAACAACAACACCATAAATAGAGATTGCCTACTTTTAGAGAGTACATGTACTTGATGACATGCAAAGCTGGTTGTGTTTCTCGATACAAATCTATAGCCGGTTGTCGGGTTGAAGCACGGACGTGTGAACTTTACTTTTTCTACTCAATGACGTCATTCTATGAAGTGTTTGTATCGAGTGGTATCGCAAGCACTGGTTTGCCAATCAGTCCATTTATTGGAAACTGGCACCCTAACTTTTTGGTGTCTCCTGCACATAGTTGTAGATATCGTGAAAACAACAGTACATCCTGCATTGTGTGACCCGGGCAATTACTCCTTGCCACATTCGAGGCCAGAAAAGTCGAAGAACAGGGAAATAGAAATTTAGCCAGGTTTTACAAAATTGGGACAGGTATACCATATCAAAATGTGTGGAGGGGCAGATCCAAAACCCAGATTTTTGAGATTTAAAGTGGGTTTTTGATCCTCAATTCGGCCCAAATCGGACTCTCAAAAGCCAGCGGGCCAGTTTCCGATGAATGGACTTGTACATACGGCCATCATGAGCTAGTTCAAACGAACTCTGTAGAAAATAGTAAATACGTTAATACAATCACTGTTGCACGATCATCCACTGATATCTGCTACATACGGCGACTCGGCGAGATGTAAGCAGCTACTTCAAACTAGCATGCACGCACATGCACTGTACATGTACATAGTTGGAGGGCAACGCCAGTAGCCAGACAACTGGAGTTAGACTCACCTTTGGGTCCAGTCTAAACGAGATCCAGTCGTCGACTTGCAGCACTGCCAGACCATCATCAGCGGCACCCGTCAAGTCGTCGGCATGGTCACCAGCAACCGACGTCGACGTTGCCATGGTAGCAGACACTGACATGGCTGACCCGCCAGACACAGGCACAGCTGCTCCACTAGTGGTCTGCACAGTAGCAGCCGCGGTGGTGGCCAAAGCTTGCTCGTGAGGGGCTACCGACGTTGTGGGGTCGCTCACAGCACTTGCAGCACTGCTTGCAGGTCCCGTAGTGGATGGCGCTGATGATGGCTGTGCGCTGGTAGCGATAGCAGCAGCAGCAACAGCAGTAACGGGTGGTGTTGACGGTAAGCCATCGCCTGCCATGATCATGACGGAGAGCGATGATACCGACGAGCAGCACTTGACCGTCACTTTGCTGTGCACCCTACAAGCAGTCCAGAATCACAAAAAAACCATACATGTACACGTACAGATAAATTTCATTATCATGTGCATCCCAAGAACTACATTTCTCAAATGCGAAGACTCCACTGTAGCCATCCACTATATCCATACATCTTCACAACACTCTCCAAACGGTCTCTGAGCTACACTCTGGTCTCTGGGCTAGACTCTGGTCTCTGGGCTAGTGATTGGTGTAGCCCAGAGACCGTTTGGAGAGTGTTGTGAAGATGTATGGATATCCCAAGAACTATCAAAATAATCAGTGTACACTGGAACCTCTGGTATGCAGCCGACTCCACATATAAAAGAACTCGCGGATAGCGAATTTCGTGATTATAGCGAACCATTGTCCATGTCCCTGTTTGAACCCATACACAATTGGCCCTTTGTAGCGATCGGTTTTTTGTTTATAACGAACCACAAGGCGTTCATTGTACAGGTCGTTCCCCGTTAATACGAGTCCGGTTAGTACATAAACCCCGTTAGTACATAAGAAATCTCAAGTCCTGGACGAAGCGTGGTCACTTCCATACAAATGTTGTCGGTTAGTACATAATTCGTTAGTACATAAACCCCGTTAGTACATAACATTTCTCCGTACCCGCATGCCACCTACCTCAATAGTACATAATTTGTTGGTCTTTTGGCCTTCCAGCGGAGGCACATCGTGTTCTAGTTTCTACTTGTGGAGCTCAGAAATCAGAGCGCACATCACAAACCGACAAAGCTCTGTTTTTTCCCGAGTGACTACCGCAGTACCGGCACGCCTGCTGGGCATGCATCATGTGAACTGTAGAATCTTCGCTGACTGTGACCGTTATAACATAATTTTTATGTTATATCGAGGGAATCAAGAATATCTCCCTGACTAGTCATGGTCGCAAGAAACACTCAGAAAAGTTGAAAAAAGAAAATTTCTGGTACACAAGCAAGTTATGTACACTTTCGTTTAGTACATAAACCCCGTTAATACATATAACATTTGTCAAGTCCCAGAGATTATGTATTAACGAGGGACGACCTGTATCAGGAGTGAGGCCAATAGAAAAGATCGGGCAAGAAAAAGAAATGCCGAAACCCGGGATTGAACCAGGGACCTTTAGATCTTCAGTCTAACGCTCTCCCAACTGAGCTATTTCGGCTGTTGAGAGAGGAGCAACGGTCGCAGTAACTATTACGTACAGTTTACCATGAGGAAAGCAAACAGAGTATTCACAAAAAAAGCGTCCGTATGTAAGTGAATTCCCAGGCATCAAAACACAAAAGGGCACAGCCACATTGAGAACTATTGAACAAGCAGAAATATTCGCCAGGGATTAAATTTCGTCCGTTTCGTCCAGAGACTTTTCGGACTAAATTCAAATGCCAAATCGTCTAGCCTTTCAGCACACGACAACGTCCATGGACAACAATTTCAACTTTCAAAAAGACAAAGTGCCTTCCTCTCGAGCCTGGTGAGATAATTCTCCAAATTCTCTAAAACAAAAACCTTGCCCTAAATCACGAAAATGCATGCTGCCGGATTAGAAAAGAACCCAGCTATAGCTAGACCTTGTGGACTGCACACGCTTGTTAGGAGAACAAGTAAGACAAGGCAGGGAACAGGCCAACTGAAACGTGTTACTAAGGATGTTTAGCAACGCGAAAGTTCGAAAGGAAATTCGAGTCTGGGAATGAGCACAAAAACAAAGCTCAAAACTTGAAAACTCGGCCGCGAAGTTGCAGTGATTCGCGAAAGTAACTTTCTCTTTTCTCGGTATGCATTTGACTACAGGGAGTAGTACATTTACAGCCCCCTGCTTGAGACTGAGCTGCATATACGGTACGGTACTATAAAATTCAAATAACTTCAAGAAAAAGTCATGTCGCATTGCTAAACCTCACAAGCTTTCTTTTTCAAAACAGACATCACAGGCAAGAGTGCAACAGATACCATTATTCTCTCGCGTCAACTATCAATGTGCAATGAGACGTACCCAAAAGCAGGTAAAAGAAGAAACTTTCCGATGGCAAAGAAATTCATTGTATTGTAAAGAAATGAAAAAGAGCCCAGCTCAATTGTGCCCTGGTGCCTCTGGATCAGCTTCCTGGTGATAAACACCCACAGGCACAGGTGGTCGTGGCTAGTCGAAAGGAACGCAGCCCGTCCTTCCCTACCAGTTTCCCGGCCAGTGAGTATGCATGGATGGGAGCTTGTGGTAGATGATGTTCTTGTCTCATTCTCAACAGCCGAAATAGCTCAGTTGGGAGAGCGTTAGACTGAAGATCTAAAGGTCCCTGGTTCAATCCCGGGTTTCGGCATTTCTTTTTTTGTTTCTTTTTTTTGTGTTGCGTTTGGTGTTTCCGGGCATGAGCCTTTTATTTCCGTTGCTCTTGTAGTACTGTGGCTGTGTAGTTCAGTGTTCCCATGTGCACGAAATCAGGGTTGTGTGTCTTTCTTTGCAACTTCGCGTAAAGCTGGAGTTTCCTGTGTGCTGCAGGGCCAGGTGTTTTTGATATCACGATGTAGGGGTTACTCCAAGTAGGTGGATGGATGCCTTCGATATTTTGGTGATGGGTGTCATCAATAAATTTTGCCGATCTGACGTTTTGGTGCTGCTGTATAGGGTGTGTGATATCGTACCGTTCAGCCATGTGTTATCCTAGTGAAGTGCTCATGTATTGAAGTGTCCGGTTCAACCTTGCTTGGTACACAGAGTGTACTCGTTTTTTTACAGTGCTTCCCTTGCTGCTTTTCTTCTTTTTTTAATCTGCGTGGCTCCAAACTAGGTCATGCGATGATGAGGTCTTCTTCTTCTTCTTCTTCTTTTTTTATGGTGTCGCTCTCTGTGCACGTTCAGTTTGCATCTTAGCATTGCACATCCAGAGTCTTTCTTACTTTTTTTAACCAGCTGTGCATACGTATGTGCATGTGTGATGTGGAAAGGAGCTTGTGGTAGATGATGTTCTTGTACCATTCTCAACAGCCGAAATAGCTCAGTTGGGAGAGCGTTAGACTGAAGATCTAAAGGTCCCTGGTTCAATCCCGGGTTTCGGCATTCCTTTTCCTTCTTTTTTCTTCTTTCCAACCTTTCTATCAGACTTTAGTTGGTTTACAGTCAGTGCCGTGGAGGGACAATAGGGACGTTTAGCAACGCGAAAATTCGAACTTTTGGTGGCGGTGATATTTTGCGACATTCTTGAGAATGTAGGCACTTTCTGCAGCTCCCAGGGTTTCTACCCAGAGGCCTGCCAAGGAACTGTGAGGCACACATCCTGGAGAGTACTGTGTAAGCAGATATATTCGTTTGGAATTTAATTTCGTCTTTTTCATCCAAGGAGCTTTTGGACTAAATTAAATGCCGGACTAATGTCAATTCGTCCAGCTTTTCAATACACTCTTATGAAAGTTATGATCCATGGATGACATTTACAACCGGACGAACTCCCTTTCTTTGGAGTTGGACGAAATTATTGACCGATAAAATGTTCTATCTGTAAAGTACAAATGCTCTGCCTTTTCTTTTTTTCAACGCAGAAAGAACAGCCTCTTTTACGGGCAACAGCTCTCTGCCTTTTCCCTAGTTTACACCACATAGCAGTCCCGGGTTTACAAAACTCTACGATCTCTACAGGCGTGCACAATTAACCATACCATAAAGCTACAAACAGGATGAAAAAAAGAAAGAAAAAAAGAATGCCAAACCCGGGATTGAACCAGGGACCTTTAGATCTTCAGTCTAACGCTCTCCCAACTGAGCTATTTCGGCTGTTGAGAATGAATAACGTCGCCTCCTACCAGAGTGTGAAACTTCGCACTATTGCGGAAAAGCGCAATTTGCTACACATAGCCACTTCGTTACCGAAACGAAGTGGCTATATGTAGCAATTGCGCTTTTCTGCAACTCATAGTGCGAAGCAGGTTGCCTTCATTACATCACATAGCAAGTTAGCAAGACCCAAGCACTGGGGGAAATCAAACCCTATGCTTTCCCTGTGCGGCTTGGCACCAACTTTTGCACGAAACTGAAGTTGACAAACACTCAAAATTCAGAGATTGCACCGGCGCTCACAAATCAAGCAAAAACGGGTCTGCTGGTAGAAGAAATTGAGGGTTTGTATGAACACGGACAGAGTGTGATGCCGGCAAGTTACCGAATGAAGGCGGCGTGACACGTACCGACCTAAACTACATTTACAATTCAATTGGTTATGGACTCTGCTAACGTGCACCTAATGAGCACCGCATAAAAAAAGTATGTCAACTCGAAAAGCTGCCTGGGCAACATAATTCCACGGTGAGATGAAAACACTTCAAGATCCAATACTGTAAACCGCCCAATTTTGCGTCACTAAATTTTTGCGATTTCTCAGAACCAGCGAGTTTACGATGGTAAATTTTCGCAGAACACTGTGGCCACACGTATACACCCACTGTTGAAGCTTGATTTCACGATGGTTAATTGCGTTATGCTCTTCTCACAAAATTAGCAAACATTAGCAATTAGAGCAAACATTAATACATCGCAAACATTGGGCAGTTTCAGTAACTCTCGTGAGAAAGAAAAGAAAAAGAAATGCCGAAACCCGGGATTGAACCAGGGACCTTTAGATCTTCAGTCTAACGCTCTCCCAACTGAGCTATTTCGGCTGTTGAGAATGACGCAAGAACATCATCTACCACAAGCTGCAATCCATGCATACCCGCTGGCCGGGAAACTGGTAGGGAAGGACGGGCTGCGTTCCTTTCGACTAGCTACGACCACCTGTGCCTGTGGGTGTTTATCACCAGGAAGCTGATCGAGAGACACCAGGGTACAATTGAGCTGGGCTCTTTTTACTTCTTTTATACAGTACAATGTATTTCTTTGCCATCGGAAAGTTTCTTCTTTTACCTACTTTTGGGTACGTCTCATTGCACATTGATAGTTGACGCGAGAGAGTAATGGTATCTGTTGCACTCTTGCCTGTGATGGCAAAACATCTCCAACATTCTTGAGA